CCAACGCCAAGTCCCGTGTCATCCTTCCTCCGCCAGGCGTCGCGACCTCTCCCTCGCCACCTCCTCGCCGCCGCCCCATCGCCCGCTCCGCTCTCCCGCCACGGGCGGCTATTCTCGACAACCCGTCCTCGCCGAGAGCAAGACGGCCACCCCGCCAAGAAGCTCACGCACGTCTCCGCCTCGGGGACCGCGCACATGGTCTCCATCTCCTCCAAAACGCCAACCTCGCGCGTCGCAAAGGCCGCCTGCACGGTGACCTTCACGACGCCCGAGCCCCTGCGCCTCATCGCCGAGAACCAGGTGAAGAAGGGAGACGTCCTCGGCGTCGCGCGCGTCGCCGGCATCATGGCCGCCAAGCGCACCCCCGACCTCATCCCCCTGTGCCACCCCATCCCCATCTCCCACGTCAGCGTCGAGCTGCGCCCGCGCGAGGCGGAGGGGGGCAGCCGTCGTGGCTGCGCCGCCATCGACGTCGAGGCCACCGTCACGTGTGATGGCAAGACGGGGGTCGAGATGGAGGCCCTGACGGCGGCGAGCACGGCGGCCCTGACGGTGTACGACATGTGCAAGGCTGTCGACAAGGGCATGGTCATTTCTGACCTGAGGGTTGTGCTGAAGGACGGAGGCAAGAGTGGACGCTGGGAGATGCCGTAGACAGCCCAGCGCAACCAGAAAAGGTAGACTTTTGAACGGACCCTTGGTTTCGCGAGTCACGGCCTCAGTTGCTGGTTACATTATCGTCGACGTATGTCTTATAATATCGATATAATCATGGGTGTCGTAGGCGTTATTCAAGATCGTCCAGGAAATGAACCCCGAGACATTGCAAGCATCGTTGCCCGACCGGGCGAAAAGCTGTCGGGTCTCGAAACCTCCACCAGCCCAATTTCTGGCTCACGCTCCGCCTAATTGTCGAGTCATTTTACTATTGTATTGCAGTCTTTCAGTCTCTCAGTCTCTCAGTCTCTACAATGACAGACATCTTACGCCCCGCATGCGTCAAGTAGCCTTCAGCGCATGAAATGTCTTGCCAATGAGCGAACCCACATTCATCAGCAACGTCGTCTCGCGACTGGGACCTGTGGCCAAGGTGCTGCGAACGCCTGACTCGCCATACGACGTTGATGGTGCTCAGCTTCTGGGACCGGTATCCTGTCAACCCCTGAGCACAGGTACCAGCCCCCCCCCCTGGCCAGTGCGACTGACTCTTGGGCATGTCAGTTGGGTCCCAATAAACTTCAGCAGAGTGCTCAAAGGCCCAGTAACATTAGCAGACAATGACGCAGTGCCATCAACAATGCGACTGTCTGACAACGCCAGCGATCCCTCGATGCAGGTCAGGCTTCGCATACATGGAACAGACGGCAAGATACGAAGATCACTAGCCGACATCGCTGATATGCCGTCAATTGATCAGCTTCAGACGCGAAGCACACATCTCGATGGCAATCGATCACTTTTTGGTGACTGCGAAAACCTCGCGTTTGACGTCACAGAGAGGCTATGGATTCCGTCTGAAGTTGCTGCTGCCAGCATGGATGCGCCATAACCCCCATCCCTGAAGCATGATCGCCAAATGTGACTTCATGGCGTTGCTTAGACCGCGACTTGGGCGCCAACGGCACCTGGTGATCGCCTCGATAGAAGAAGGCCTGAGCTCTTCACGCTCTTCACGGCAATCAATGTCTGTGTTGGAACTCATCAACCTTGTGAATCAATCAACGTGGAAAACAACGAGAGTGATATCTGTCGATGCATGCGGAACTCGCTTCGTTCACCTAGTCCTATCGATGTTCCTTCCTCGCGGGCATAAGCTAATGATGGATGGCCAGCGGCCGAGCTGAAGCGTTGCGACGTCACTTCACGGCAGCTTTTGTTTGTGTCGCAACCCGGCGTCGGAGATCCACGTGGCTGGACCTCTTCTCAAGTTCGCTCTCACTCAAGACCTCGACCAACGGACATATAAATCTGTGCCTCAGGCAACAGTACGTAGACACTTGAGCCAATCGCTGTTCGCCGATAACACCAACTTCATTGAGCCACTAAGGCCCTGCACGTAAATGAGCTGCAGGGATAGCGTTGCAGCCGAGTCGAGATTTATTCCATATGCGGCTAAGCTAATCTGACAGGTCAACTGCGAAGAGTACCGAGAGAATTTCCCAGCTCGATTTGCGACGTGCAAGATCTTTGGGTGGCCTGTTCCCCCCTCGCGGGTGACCTTTCACGCCTACATGGTATTTCCTTCTGGCTCCCCTGAGAATGGGGAAGTGGTGCGGAGCCGGGGTAGCACTTCATAGCATACCGTATTATCGCTGTCGGATCACCAGATCTGAGAGTTTGCACCATTGGGACCGGGACATAGGGGATGACGATGGAGTTAGCTGGGAGGCTGCGGAGTGTTTAACGCGGGACTGAACGGTAGCCACCGTGCATGTCGTACCTCTGCTCATGATGTTGATGTTTTGCATTTCGACTGGGCTGGTCGGGACTCTTCACGATGGGGTCTATTGAATTCTGTTGCGTAAGAGCTCGCTGCGGCTCCCACCGGCGAACCCACTTGACGACGGGGGCGAAGTTTGAAGGCTCTCGTCCTAAATGTTTTGCCGCCGCCAATGCCGTCGACACGCCGCGAAAGAGCCGCCGATAGTACATAGTACATGGTAGAGTTGCTTGGAACACCCAGGCTGATTTGAGGGAACCCATTGCTGTGCCGGAGGAAATGGAAGGTGAAGTTTCTGCTCGGCACTACGGAAGACGTCACTGAGTCAGTATGTGAACGAGGCTGAACTGTTGCAACTGCTGGCCGTACCTGGGACTTTGGACGGCAACGGGTGTTGACAGGCTGCAGTGGCTTCGCCCGGCTCTTGGAGGCCTGGTTGTGGCAACAACTCCCTTCTTCTCCGAAACAAGTGCACTTCAACTTCTAGATGCTCCACACTTGGCCGGCGGTCGTATCCATCGGGTGGATCCCCGGCGACGGCTGGCTTCCGTTTCTGGCGTGACCGTAGAGCCGCCGTCAGCGCCATTAGTAAAATTCTGGAGCTGAGACCTTCTAGAAGCCGAGATTGTTCCTTTGGTTCCCGAATTCCTTTGTCGCTGGCGGGCCATTCCACTCTTCGAGGAAGGAGGAAGGTCGACGTCGGCATTAAGCTCAGTCAGTCAGGGGCACCTGATCTAGTCGTGCTAAGTAGAGATAGGAAGGAAAACATTAAGGAAGGAAGGAAGTTGAAGAAAGCCTGGGTCGGTGACTGGCAGTGAAGCGGAACTCGGGGTCACGAGACCCATCACCCCGAAAGAAGTACATGTACAGTACTGATGTACCAAAGTGTCGACTCAAATCCCTCAGCATGGGCGAGACAATCGCCTGATAGGGTTGCAAAACAAGAAAGGCATTGAGCCAAGAGACCTGTACGCGTGGGATGGCTCGAGGAAGCCGAAAGTAGACTGGAGTTCGCTGCTGGAATGATAGACTGTTGATCGCTTTCTCGGACCAGAAGACCCTGAATCCAAGGCGTGGGCGAGTCAAGGTAGGGCCTTCGAACAACATCAATCCTACAGTACATGTACACGCTGCGTAGACTAGGACAGGGGTTGTTCGGTCACCGCTTGACCGATCGTTGGTTTTGAGGAGCAGCCCAAATGCGTCACGCGACAACCAGCTGCGAGGCGAGGCCTACCTGTCGGCTCGCCCGCCGTTACAAGTGCACTTGTCGCCTGCTGTGTCTCAACTCATCATCTCCTGGTTGCCAGAGGCTGTGCCGAGGGATGGCAAGAACAGTCGAGGCTGGATTGAGGGCGATGCTTGGAAATTGGCGCCGTTCGTCTGGTCTGCTTGTCTGCCTCTTTGCCTACCGCGGTCGGGCCAAGGGCGCACGAGCCCGGGTTCCCACACTGGAGGGATGGGATCCTTGTTGTTCCATCACCCTGAAGATCCCGGACCGGTATCCTAATCCAGCAGTCGAGTAATGGCACGCGCCAGAGGCTGACAACTGGGACCTGGGACCCTTGGGATGCGCGATCGAGAGAAGGCAAGCCATTTCCGCCCGGCCTCGTGGCGTGGCAGAGAGATGCTGAGACGTAGGAGAAGCACAACCCGACCAGGGCGGGGCCGGATTGGGGTACGGAACTCGCGCACCTCGAGTCGGAAAGGCACCCCGACGTCGCCCATGCGCCAGCCAGCACCTTGGCGCGACTGAACAGAATCGACAGGCAGGTTGGGCAGCGGAGTGATTCCCGTTGCGTTGCCAGTCGAGAGCAGCATCGACAGCGCCCTCCTAGCGGCATGAAGAGGCTCGGAAGTGACAGAAAATGCTGCCAATGAGGCACCTCTACCCTCGTGAGGGAAGCCCCAGCCTCTGTCTAGGAAGATGAGGCGCCCGTCCAGGGTTCCCCGACCGCCCAACTTCAGGGGACCTTTATCCGCCTTGGCCTGCTTGAGACTCTCTCTCTGCGTCTGAGATACCACGGGCATGCTTTCATCGACGACTGCTCCTTGATTGCTTTTTGCTTATCGCTCGTGATCGTCGTTGTCCAATCCGGGTTCGGAAAGAAGTGCGGACTGGCGGTGACGTTTGAACGAGAGGTACCAGCTACCCTCCATCTCGACATGTGGCTGCATGAATGCTAGTCATGGCCTTGGCTGTCCCGCTGGAGGATGGCATCCGAAAGACAGAGGCGCGGGCGCCGCGGTTGACGGCGCCGGCGAAAGCCTGCTGGGTCGGTCTAGGAGATAGAGGAGTGGTAGTGGTAGCGGCAGCGGTAGCAGTAGCGGTAGCGTTAGCGGGAAGACTGAGGGACGTGGGAGGATATGGAGGAGATGCGAGGACACCGCTCCACCCCGTCCCCAAGCCCCAAGCCCAGAGCAAGCCCATGCGGTGGAGGCCCTGTACCTCTAGGGGACTAGGGGTGTGCTGGGGAGGGGCGGTGGGCGACAGGGGTGCGCCTGGCTTGCCTGAGATCCTGGGAGGCGGTTTCCGCCAATTGCCGCACTTTTAAAACCAATGGAGAGCCCTCTCTTGCCTCCTCCTACAGCCGTATCGGTGCCTCCTGCCCCCCCCCGGTGCTCGTGTTCACTTGCCTCCGGACCATTACCTGCAGCGCCTTATCAGCGACTACTACTACCTATCCACATCCCACCTCGCTCTCGTCACGATCGCTTCACCTTCCTCAACACCCCTCGCAACCCACGAGCCTTACAACACCTACCACTTCTCACGTCACCCCGTCCAACAGTCATCTCCATGTCTTCCGCTTAGAAACCTGACCGTTGTGTCACTGGCGTTTGTAGAACGCCTCGCGTAACAGCACCCGTGCCGAGAACACCAACCCGACTGTCACACCTTCCGCACCTCAACGACTCTCTTACCTCTTCTAGGTTTGAGTGTACATCGAACAGTCACACGACCTGCTTCGACGCTTTGTTGAGACCTCGACCAGTACATTCCACCAAATAATTCTCCGAGACAGCAGTCTCATCTTGTTGTTCTCTCACCACCGCAAAGATGACGGCTGAACTCATCATGCCGTCCGTCCGCGATCTGAACCACCCTCACGGTGGCCACTGGGAGCACCACGCTCTCCCTCAGCGTCCGCACTTCTCCCACACGCGCTCGCAATCCTATCAGCTGCCCAACAACAGCAATATCAACAGCACGCCCATCACCACCACTTCTCAGCACACATCCCCATTACACACCCCAGGCGCAACCTCGCCAACGTCGCCCGGCACTCGGTCTCTTGCTGCCACCCGCCAGGCCCGACCACTCTTCATGCCTGCCGTCCTGCGCCCCACCGAGTTCTCCTCAAAGTTGCCTCGCTCTCCCAAGAATGAAGACGGACCTGAGAGTCCCGCCGACCTGAACCTGCAGCGCGTCAACAGCAGCTTCATTAGTCTTCCGGGCCTGAGCATGATCGGTTCGCGACTGAGCCGCCGCTCCACAGGGGACAGCGGGAAGGCGATGGACTGCGATTTGGATCCGGAGCTGTTCCCCGAGGTCAGCGGCGAACCTACGCGCAAGCACTGGAAGGTAAGCAACAACTCATCTTCTTGCCAATTTTGGTTTTTCTGCACAAGCAAGGTAATTAACAACATGAGTACAGCCCGATCCTCACGCCTCAATGTGCGATGACCCTACTTGCCAGCGTACATTCAACTACTTCAACCGCCGCCATCACTGCCGCAAGTGTGGCAACATCTTCTGTGACAGCCATTCTGCGCAAACCATCCCTCTCGACCAGGACCTCAACTACAACCCTCGGGGATCCCCCTCGCGCTCCTGCGGGCACTGCTTCACCCAGTTCATCGCGTGGAAGAGCCGAAACAACAGCCAGGCCAGCAGCGACCAGGGCTCTTCAGTCGACACTGCCGCCGGCCCCATGCCTGGGACAGCCATCCCTACGGGAAGCGCGAGCCCTGTTCCCACCAGCAGCCCCAGTGGTAGCGTCACTTTGGGTTATGCCAGAGGCCCGGAGGTTGCCGCCAGTGTGCCTAGAGATTGGAACTGGAGCACCTTCTAGGTCCCTTTGCCACATACGTTGTCGGCGCTATTTCAAAGCGACGGCCAATTACACAACATGGACATAGACATACCCCAATACCCGCCGTCGACACACCCTCAACCTTAATCGCGCCCTCCCTCACCTTCACCCATCACTACAACACGACAAGAGCAACATAGACAGCGGGATTTGTGAGCATCCCGTTTTGGGATATGCTTTTTTTATTTTTGAGCGCGGCGTTGGAAGGTCTAGCTTTGCTATTTTTGAGACGCACTTGACAGGATGAGAAGACGTCATACCTCGCTACGGCGAAGGTTAAGAGATCAGACAGGAGAATGGAGGAAGATACACTGGTCCAGGACGCCACTGTGCCTCTTGCTGCTGGGGTCGCGATCCTAGCTTCATTTGCTTCCAGTAGTCCCATATATCCTGGGGAGGAAATGCCTCCCACAGTCAAGCATCAGGTTCGCAACATGTATCCTCTTCGACTTATAAGATGCAGTGAAGTGACATGTCGTCCTGGTATGACTTCAGAGCCCTTTGTGCGTTAGCGTGCTGGGGATATAGTGAGCTCCACCAAACATGGTTTACGACATTCCTCCGTCACCTTCCTATCAGTGGGCTATTTCCCGTTTGCGGCACCCTTGCCGTTCCCGAACAAAGATCTTCTTCTGCCAAATATGTACGACAAATAGCACTTTGCTGATAAGAGATTCTCCTTGAAATAGATTCACACCCATTTGAAGAGCCGCGAAAGCCGCCCCTCGACTTGCTGATCGTGTGAAGCTATGCGCCGGGGGGGCAAGGGGTGTTTTGCATACCGCAGAAGAACACAAACATGGGCTTCACGACCCCTCACCTGTGCGTTTCCACCCCGCGTTTAAGCGCGCGACGCTCCCTGCCCCCTCCCGGCCGCGTCCTCTTCTTTCGCACCTCCGTGAGGGGCGGAGGTGCGCCGAGGCCGAGGCGACGTGTTAGGCCGAGATGCATTGCGGCGTGTCGGTGCGACGTTCGCTGACGAGGGAGGAAGGCGTATAACCGGCGGACGGCGCGTTTGCGGGTACCGCGCCTTTGGCTGTGTGGTTTTCGTGGACAGCAGGCTTGCTTGCAGGTGGCCCTGCGGCTCAAGTTGGCAGGTCGTAGTGCGTGACGGCTTGACGGCTTGACGGCTTGACGGAAACTTCGTCGAACGGGACGCTCATAGCAAACCTCGACATTTGTTTCGGACGACATGTATCTGGCGCGATTGCCTGGAGGAATGAGAAGTGGAAGAAACGTGCGAATTTGTAACTATATTGGGGCTGATGATCCAGGAGAGAGACTATGTACAGCAATGCACAAGCAAAATGAAAATAAAACAGCCAACAATGCAGATGCTCACCGCTATCCCCAAGATAAGGTTGTCAACACCCGCCGCCTTCACACTTGTTTTTTGGTAAACCCCAGCCTCATAACGCCGTGTATAACACAGATCTCATAGGAAAGTACACACTGGGAGCCCCGCCACTGCGTCTCTGGCTCGATAAAACTATTAACAATACTTTTGAGAGGGTCTAGTTCTTGCGGCCCTTCCTCGTCTTGGGACCAGTGACGACAGCCTCCTCGGCGCCCTGGTTGTAAATCTCGCTGCTGACCTCCTTAGCAGCATCCCAGCCGGCCTTCTCGGCGAGGGTGACATTGCTCTCGCGGCGCGACTTGCCCTTGGGCTTGAGGTCCTGGGCGCTGGAGCGGCGGAGGTAGCTGCGGACGAAGAACATGCCGAAGAGGTAGGTCAGGGGCGCGAGATACAGAACGTTGAGCCAGATGCCGAACGTCTCACCGCTGGTGGTAATGCAAGGCTGTGTGACCCAGACGGTCTCAGCCTGCAGACCGGCGGGCACGGCAGCAGCGGCAGCGGCCGCAGCGGCGCCAGTGGCATCCGAGGCGGCGGCGGCAACAGCGGACTCGCTGGCCGCTCCGTAGAGCATGTTCTTGATAGACGCGATCGCACCGACAGATGCCTTCACGATAGCCTCGGCGGTGGGAAGAGAAGAGGAGGGGCTGGCGGAGGCGGCGGCGGCGGCAGACGCGGACTTCTCAGTGTAGACGGTTACCGGGACGGTGTACGAGACGAAGGAGTGGAGCATGGCATACGAAGCGCCCACGAGGAACTGGGTGATTTGCATCGTGGTCAGAGAGCGCTTGATGGGTGTCGGCACGCGGATGTTAAAGGCGGTGATGGTGTAGTATGTGTACTAAGTACGCATGTTAGCGGGTGACGCAGAAGTCAAGAGAAAAAGAAGCATTTACCATCAGAGCGTGAATGAACGAGTTGACGAGGACAAACATCCAGATAGGAGCAGACATGTAACGCATGCCAGCCCACATGCACATCATGGCGCCGGCGTGGTGGTAGGTCTGAAGGGTCGAAGACAGTTTGCCCTTGGCGAGGATGATAAAAGTATCAAGCACCTCATAGAACTTGCTCAGATAGAAGATCCAGCCGTAGAAGGAGAGACCCTCGTTCCACAGGCGACCGTACACGTCGGTGCTAGGGTTTCCGTTGGCGGACAGGCTGATGGCACCGTTGATGCTGGTCCACTGGCCGAGGGTCTCATTGTAGACAGTCGCGTGGCCAAAGCCAGCAGGGCCGTTCATCTGGCAGAGGCTGTCGGCGGTGGCCGCCACGCCGTGAGGGCCAAAGGGGCTCACAATGGCACGGCGCATGCCACCGAGCATACCCCAGAAGGTCCAGGCCGAGTAGACAGCAAGGAAGATGTTGTGAAGGATGACAAAGACCTTGAAAGGGCCCGTCTTGCTAATAGCCCAAGGGCGCTTGTTGGTAGAGGTATTGTAGCGGTTGAGGAGCTTAATCGTGACAGCGTATGTCGCCGCAATGGTGATGGGGACCCGGGGGTCCAGGACGGCATTGTAAATGTGATCGGGAATGGCAAAGTTGGAGGAGCTCGCACCCGGCGGGGGAGGAGGGACGCCGATGGGGTAGTGGCTGGGAGGGAATTGGAAGAGAGACGAGTTCGGTAGCTCGCTGAGGATGGTAGTACCAGACATATTGCAGACGAGGGAAGCCAATTGGCTTCAGAATGCAGTGGCGGGTGGTTGTGAGGCTGCTTGCGCAAAAGGCGTCAAATGAAGCCAACGGAGATCTGAGGCGCCGGCGCGACAGGGCCAAGTGTGAAGTTCGATTAGGTCGAATCGAGGAAGTCTTCGAGGCGGGAAAGGTCAGGAACCTGCGTCGAGGAGAAGACGAGACTCTGGTGACGAGAGCAAAGGTGGTTTGTGAAGCAAGAGACAAGTCGATGTCACCGAGAGGAAGGGTCGGGATACATAAGAGGCGACTTGAGGACGGGAGGATGGGGTACTAGTTGGAGTTTTTCTGCTGGGGTGTGGGTAGGGGGAAGAGGCCAGGGCCGGTCAGTCAGTGCCTCAAGAACCAGAGGTTTGTCTCGGAGAGCACAAATAAGCCGAGGCCAACAAGACGAACGGGGGACCAACGTGCACGCTGTAGTGCGCATCACATGGAATAACTGGTCAGGACCCCAAGATTGGGGGTATGGATGGGGTCGGGGGGGCAAGTGCAAGGAAGACAAGTGGGCGGGTGGATATCCGTCACGGAAGCTCTTTCTTGATGATGGGGTTGAGCCTTGACTTTCGAGATCATGCACAGGCAAGGGCGAGCAGGCAGACTGAAGGGAAGGGAAAAAAAGCTAAAGGGTTGACCAACGAGAGCCCAGTATGGCTGGGGTTTCCTTCCTGTTTGAGCAGTTAGGCATGTGAGGTCGAGGCATGAGTGGCTGCTTCGCCCCTTCCTCCCCCCCCGCGGCGGCGTCACGCATGGAGCCCAGCTTTGCGGCGGCCTATCCGGTTGCTTTGAATGTCACTTCGTTGAGCGCTGGTCATTGCCCGTCGCGGCCCGGCCATCGGTCACGTCTACATGGTACGCACGCCATGGCGGATAATTCGGAGTGAAGACGTCTTGTACACTCGATCACTACGGTGCCTCGGTCAAAGTTGGACATGGGCCTTGTCTGCCACATGTCAAAATGTTCGTCGAACACTCCACGAGCGTGGTTGCCTTTTTCAGAGAATAGGTATCTTCTGTTGAATGAGTTGAGGACAGTGAAATATTTAGTGGGCTTCCGAGCTGCTAGCTTCTTTCGGCGGGACCCTGAAAACTGCCAGCACGGGCCTAGTGACTTGTTGTCTGCTAACACTTTGGACCAAAACACTGGTAAACCCATGCGACCCAAATGTACCTACTACCCCGCCCATGGGGCACCTTTCCTGCGTTTTGTTGAGAGGCGCTAACCCCCATCGAGATCGGCTTTAGAATCGGTGGAAGCTTTCGCCATCTTCCTCGTCGCTCGTCTCCATGCCCTGCGGCGTTCCCAGACCGCCCGGCATACTCGTTTACCATACCCGTTGGTCGGGTCAGACCGCCGATGTGTCGCACGAACGAGTAAGGTCTGCCGGGCGCCATGCCCAGTAAAAGCTCCGATGGCTGATAATTCTCACAGTTGTGATTAGTCCTGGCAGGGCATACAGGTTTTGGCGTGAATGCTCGTCTCTCTACTCTCGTTTTCCAGTCAACGACATTGATTCTCGACATGTTGAATCAACCATTTTGCTTCGAAGCACGTGTCAAAGGTGTTTCTGTTTCCAATTGGCATGTGATTCTCCATCGATCCGGGCATTCGAAGGAACCACCAAGCCAAATTTAACCTACAAACTATCAGATCACCACACAGACAGGGCGAGCCCTCCTCAACAAAACCGGCCCCCGTTTCCTCTTCCGAACACCCTGACCGGCACACGCCCGAGCCGATCCCTAATGCTACCCCGCCGCTGCACATTTCGTGCCGTCACCTCCTGGCCATGCTTCGAACCTTTGGCCTGTGATGAGGATTTGTTGCTCAAGTCTTCGTCACCCTTGCAGGAGATCAAATGCTGAGGCAATCGTGACGGTGCCCCATATTTTGCCGTGATTCCGGAGTAACGGAACGGAGCGGGGCTTTCCCCCGAGCCGGCACAGGTCAGAGTGTTCTTCCTTGAGACAATAAGTAGTGCCTGCCGCGTCGACTTTGGTGGGACTTGAAGCATGGTTTCGTCAAAATTTACTGTGGCCTACTTCCTCGAGCCCTTTTTTCGCGCAGAATTTCGACGGCGCCGTTGCTGAACCACAGCAGGGAACGGCCGTATCCTTTGGTGACATTGGCGGTCCGTCCTGGATGTTGGAAGTTACAGCCATCATCTGCTCATATGCGTTTATTGGAAACCGACATTTTATCATACAGCAACACACGTTTCATACATTGGATGACGGGTGTTGATTATCGAAAGAAAAGCACCCAAAGTCACTACGCCAAAGGGTAGTTGGGCAAACGAGACGACGGGCGAGCGGCCAGAAGCGGATGGTGACGCTAAGGCCATGACGACTCAAATGACGACAATGACAACCGAAGTTTCCGGCGGCCGTGGTGAGTGCAGGGAGTGTGAGCCTTTTCCTCGATAAGCGAAGTGAGCCGCTGCGCTTGACGGGATGACGAGGGCTTGCGATCTGGTATTATCAATTGCGAAATGAAAGTCTGCTCTTCGCCAAAGTTTGCGGAGAAAATCCGAAATGCTGCGAGTAGAGAATGGGTGATTGCCAGATCGCTCAACGTTTGATAAGTCTGGCACTGGACTTCTTTAAGCATCACAACATTGCAGGCCTGTCCATAGGACTATACCAAGGTACATTGTCTTCTATGTGAATGGCAAGGAAAAAGAAGAAGGAACACCAAGTTTAAGACTGGGCCATCGGTTGGGCTGTCAGTGATGCAGGCATCCGTTGTGCGTTTGCTGCAGGCAGGTACCCGGAAGCTGTGACATGCTATACCGCCAGTCGATTCGGAACAGTCTATTGCATAGGTAAGCCGCTGGGCACATGAGAATGGGGAATTCAGTGCGCGTACGGCATGCATGGCTAACACAGGACAGATGATCTGCATGCACGGCCGACATCAGACTGTAGAGTGAACCAAGCTATAGTATGGGCCCCCGGCAGACGAGCCTCTGCAATCGGCGGTTCATCGTGGTAGGATGGATCTCGCTCGATTGACTTTTGCAGAATGCAGTGGAAGCACCAATACCATCACTGGGAGTGGGCACTGCAGTGCTGGTCAGCGGACAGTGGGCAGGCACACGGGCCAAGGGCTCGCTGCTGGCACTCGATACAACCTGCCTCGCTCTCACATGCAATCCCAGTTGCAACGCTCTTCCTGTGCAACCCCAGAACTCAGAAGTCAAACGTGATCCTCACCCTTGACTTCCACCGACTCGAGTTGTCTGCATCGACAAGAGAAGCCACCATGCCCTCATCAGGTTAGTCCCTCAGCCCCATCACATGCTGCACAGCACTGACCCCGCATTTTGCCAGAGCACCTAGGCAGCTTGACTCTGGGGATCAACGGGGAGATGGAGGCGGGAAGGAGCTCGGACGCCAGGATGAGGATGGTCACGCTCTGCACTCCACACCGGGCAACGTTCTCTTCTACCCGTTCCACCTGGTTGGGGGTGGCGCCATCTGCTTTCCTTCCTGCTCGCCACGGAATCGGAGGATTAAACATCAGCGAGACTCCGTTCACGCATCCTTCTGGCTTCTCCGCATATATCACGCCTCGGCATCTCCTCCCAGGCGCTGTCTAGGTCTGACAGTCTGACTATTTCCCACTGACGACGGACGTGTCGTCGTACAACACTGCTTCCTCCCACTAGTACCATTCACCATGAGCTTGAACGAAGATTCCTCTCTCCAGGCCGTAGCCGCCGCTCTCAGACTCCCAGCTGTGCCGCCAGCGGGCTTCTGGGACGAGACGCAATGGGCCGTCTTTTGGTCCATGATGGAAGCTGCCCTACCCTCCATCCGAGAGGCCTCATCTGTCGAGGACGAGAATCACCAGATCAAGCTCGACCACGACCAGTACTCGTCCGCCTACGAACTTGTCAAGGCCACCATGAAGAATCCGCCGTCCGAGGACAAGTTTCATGCGTACCTTGATTACAACGCCTCCGCAGACCCCGACTTCAGAAACAGCATCATCAGGACGCTCTACATGCTGCCTGGTGCCTCCCAGCGCTCTCTGGGGGGTGCACTGACGACTCTGAGGTGGGCTCGTCTCCATCAAACCCCCAAGGCCGGACTAACATGAACAGCGGCCGCACCGGAAGCTGGTTCCTCACGGGCTACTTCACCGCTGTGAACCAGCAGCCACTCCACATCCGCGAAGCCATCCTCCAGGGCTGGCAAACCTCCCGCCTCAGCTCCATGCGCGTGCTCACCAAGGTTTTCACCACACTGGCCCAAAAGGCCACCCTGCAGACGAGCCCCCTCTTCAAAGAGCTTACCGGTTACACCGACTTGCCCAGCGACCATGAGCCCGTTGACAGTTATGAGTTCAAATTTATGCAGTTCCCCGCCTCCGACGAGCCCGTGTCACTCGAGACGGATGCTGTCATCGTCGGTTCGGGCTGCGGTGGCGCCGTCGTTGCCAAGCACCTCGCTGAGGCCGGCCATCGCGTCCTCGTCGTCGACAAATCCTACCACTTCCCCGCCGCCCAGCTGCCACTCGCCCAGGACATGGGCTGCGAGTACCTCTTTGAGGGGGGCGGGTTTCTGGGCAGCGACGATAGCTGCCTCAACCTCGTTGCCGGTAGCTGCTGGGGCGGCGGCGGGAACATCAACTGGAGCGTGTCGCTGCAGACCCAGGGATTCGTGCGCAGCGAGTGGGCCAAGAAAGGCCTGCCGTTCTTCACCTCGGCCCAGTTTCAGAGCTGTCTCGACAAGGTGTCGGACGTGATGGGCGTGAGTTCAGACCATGTGCGCCACAACCACAGAAACCGAGTGATGCTTGACGGGGCCCGCAAGTTGGGGTGGCATGCCGCTGCGGCGCCGCAAAATACGGGCGGCACGGAACACTACTGCGGCCGGTGCCATCTCGGATGTGGGTCGGCTGGCAAGAAGGGAACCGCCGTCAGCTGGCTCCCTGCGGCTGCAGAGGCTGGTGCCGAATGTATTGAGGGTCTGGAGGTGAACGAGGTGACCTTTGACACGACGGACGGCGACAAGAAGGCGACAGGCGTCGTGGGAACCTGGGTATCCAGGGACGCCACTGGTGGTGTCAGCAGTCCATCGTCGGAGCGCATCACGCGAAAAGTCGTGATCAAGGCCAAGAAGGTCATAGTGGCCTGTGGTTCGCTCTGGAGTCCGCTGGTCCTGCTCAAGAGTGGCCTTACCGTGAGTGTCTTCATTTTTTGACTGTGGGTGCAACGCTGACCTTGTCTAGAACCGACACATTGGCCAAAACCTCTATGTTCATCCGTGCAACATGGTTGGCGCCTACTGGAAAGAGGAAGTTACACCGTGGGAGGGTAAGCACAACCAAACATTCGGACCATCTCTCCTTGCTAACCAGCCAGGTGGCATCATCACGAGCTACAGCACCGCTTTTGAGAACCTCGACGGAGCTGGCCACGGCGTGAAACTCGAGCCAACTTGCGCCGTTGTATGTTGCCTTCTCACTCCCTTGTTTCTTGCCGTGCTAATCAGTCCCAGCCCTATACTGTCCTCACAAGCATGCCTTGGCACAGCGGCCTCTCGTCCAAGTTGGCCGCACTCAAGTACCGCCATTTCGGCGGCTTCATCGCCCTCACTCGCGAGCGCGATCCGGGCTACGTGTACCCTGACCCCCGCACCGGCAGGCCGCGCATCGCCTACACGCCGTCTGATTTCGACCGCGCGCATACGCTGGAGGGTGTCGTTGCTCTGGCCAAAATTTGCTATATCGAGGGCGCAGAGGAGATTCAAGCCTTCTTCCCGGGTCTGGAGCCCTTCGTCCGGGGCGAGGCTAGGAACGAAGAGGGCGAAGAGGCGGGCGTCAACGACCCTGCATTCACAGCATGGTTGGAGCGCGTGAGGGCTGTGGGAAACAAGCCCCCCAATGCCCTCTTCACGTCTGCGCATCAGATGGGCACTTGCCGCATGGCGGCCAACGAGGACGAGGGTGTCGTCGACCCGAGGGGCAGGGTGTTTGGGACAGAGGGGCTCTATGTTGCGGATGCGAGCGTGTTTCCCAGCGCCAGCGGGGTGAACCCCATGATCACCAACATGGCCATTGCCGAGTGGATTGCCATGGGGGTGAGCAAGGAGTTGAAGGAGGTGTAACGTGGTGTCTTGTTCAAGGTATTGCTCGGTGCCGTCCGTCGGGGCCATGTACGTCTCTTGCGTCTTGTATCTACTCATGTTCGTTGCGTCACCACGCTATGCAGAAGATGTATGCGGAACGGGAAGGATGTCAGGCTTCTTACAACATGCATGTCATGCAGGTGGCATCCATGTCATGCAGGTGCAAGTTTGTCCTCAAACCAACGTGACCAAGCGGGTCTGCGCCGCTCTTCCTGCTACCAGCACAAACTAACACACCTCCCGTCCTCCTTTCGGTCCCAGCCTCGCGAAAGCTCCCCAGCGATACAGACGATGACGCGATTTTCACATGATTCTCACATGAGACGCAGAGTCTTCGGCTTCGGCTGTTGATGCACGACAAATCCAGCAGACGCGTCATCCAGAAACCGCGGCCGCATACCGGCCGCCCCCTCGCGACCCGTTTCACATGCGGCCTCGCCCGGCGCCCGACCTGCCGCGCAAGCCGGAGGCCCATGTCCGAGACGCGGCCGACAGCATGGTCGCAAGTCTTGATGTCTGGCAAAATTTCGTCGCCCCGGATCTTGGTTCCCCTGGATCCATCGTACAAGGGTTCAGTCTGGGAAAGCAGACGGGTCTGTCTTGGGGTCACATCGCTCAGTGTCCGTGCTGGATGGCAGGCTGGCATGCTGGCCAGCACGTGAGCTGGAGGCGACGGGACGATTGGCTCGCCGGGCCGTGGGTGTGTTGCGAGGGCGATGCTTTCTTTCGAGGGGCGCCGGAGGCCTTTGGGTAGGTTGGACGCGGCTCATTTTGGGAGAGCAGAGGTGAGCCATCTTCCGAGTACGTGTGTTTATCGTGTTTGGCATGTCTTTTGGGGGCAGACTGAAGAGGGCGGAAGCACAGTTGCCTAGCATGGTGGGATGAATGGTCAGGTTGGGGATCTGTTGCACTGCCATGAGGGAGATCAAGGCAAAAACAAAGTCTCGATGCTTAAAGCTAAAATCAAGTTCGCGTCACGTAACCCGACCAGCTCGTCTCAAGTCTTCAAACAAAAGCCACGTTTGGAGAGTGGAAAAGTCACAGCACAAGCAATCACGACGAGACGACGACCAGGTCAGAACACACGTGTTCTCATTAAGCGTCAAAAACAGGCATCGACAAGAGTAGATAGCAGTCCACCACGCCTCGGCCGCAGCCTTTGCCTCGTCCCCACGCGCGCGCGGTGGACCGGGCACGGCAGCCCGTCCACTCGCCAGGAGTGTCGGAACCCGCCGCCCCGCGCCGCGTTTCTCGCCAGATGGGTTGTTTCGTATGTGTGTCCAGCGCCATTTTCTGCCGCAGGATCAAGAGAATGGGCGTCTCTCCGCGTCCTGAAGGGTGGGTGGGGGAAGATGTCACGAACCTCTACCGAACGATGCGTCTTCGCACAGCGTAGATGCATGGTTTGTTCGGAGAAGGCTGGTGACGACCTTGACCCACCCGTCCTTACAGCTTCCCCCGTCGCGGACTGGGCACCCCCAAGGGGGTGAAGATTGTGTGTCCAGCGACGAGGCATGTAGGGTGGCGAAACTACATGTCGTCTCGACCCGGTGCGCCCCGTAAACTCGGGATCTGCGACGTCACCCACCCGGGCGCGCCACACCTGTGCCCTCCCACCCTTGACAGCAGCATGCAGTGACCCCCGCTCCGCCGTAGTGATCCGTCTGGCGGTATCACAGCCGGGAGAACAGGGTAATCAGCACGGCGCCAGTGTAGGAGAGCCAAGGCCGCACGCCCACGCGGCGCAGCCACGCAGATCCGTCGTCCTCCGGCGCCCTGAGGCGCGAGACCATGGCAGCGAAAGGCCTCGCATCAATGTCTGCGCTTCTCTGATCCTGCAGAGTAAGTGTTGGACGTCTCCAAGTTCTGATGCCCAGCTTTCTTCTTTTGGATGAAGTGAAAATCCCCCCGCTCGGTGTTCCTTCGCCATCGTCCTTCCATGTCAGCCGGCTTCATCTCCCGGGAGACGATGCCGACAACGACCAAGGAATCTTTCCCGTCGACAAACCAGTGCCTGCCCCCCCACCTGCCAAGAAGGAAAAACCGCGCTGCGTTTCTTGGGAGAGGGGAGGCCACGAGGTGGTGTTTGCGGCTCCGAGAGCCCTTTTCCGCACGAGAAAGAGAGGAGGAGGATGCAATGCCATTATCGGAGTCCAGTCCAGAGGTGCAAAACATGCCGTCCATCCCCAACTCGCCGAGAGCTCAAAAGAAAAAAAAGGAAACGTGTCGAAAGTCGTGATCCCCAAATTATGGCGTCGTCGTCGTAACGGAAGAGAGAAAAAAAAAATCCCAGAAGCGTAAAAGCGCAGACGCCGGCATCAAGCCGAGCGAAGAGCACGCGTTCGTCGTTTTGTGTTTTCTTCTTCTTCTTCGTACACATGTGCCGTAGTTCGTAAGAAGGCTTCGTTCCGGTTTTCTTTGCTCGTGAAAAGAGATGGCGTCGCCCATCACCCGTAAGACGGGACTATTAGAATAAATTGGACAATGGCCGAGGAAGAAGCGAAGGACAGCGCGGCGCAGCAGCGGTCGAATCGTCCTGTGATCCGACGGCGCAACACGCGCAATCGATGGTTGTGTGTTGTAAGGGGGGGTATCTCCAAGAAAGCCTTTCCGTGCCAATAAAAAGGAAGAGGGGAGGGACAAAGGGAAGCCGAGGAAAATAGAAAAGTAGAAGTAGCCAGACCAACCGAAAGGACCATAATTGGAGGGGAATCGAGGTCGGTTTCTGCTGTCTCGGACTGAAGCCGAGCAGGGGGGGGGGGCCGCATTGCTGCGTGTTCCTCTTGTTTAGATGAGAAAACCCAAAAGGGAAAGACAAGAAAAGACAGAGAGAGAGAGAGAAAAAACGAAGCAACCTAGATCCGCCTGTATACCCAAATGTAAATGCACTCAAATATGATCCCGCCCCGGGCCCAGCCATGATGTGTGATGTGAGTGAGTGAAGAAGATGTCTCCTGTACCGAGCTCGCGGTCGTCGGATGATATCGTCGTCCCCTGGGGTATTGGAAAGAGACGGAGAAAATCAGAAAACGCTCGCTTGGGTTGCTCGACAAGAAGAAAAGAGAAATCCGGACCAGTACAGTTCGGGGAATGGGAGGGAGAGGGAAAGAGAGAGAGGGGGAATTTTTGCCTTGTCGCGAGTCCTCGAACACCGGCCGCTCCTTGGTTGATGCAACAAATAACGCCGATATGCCTTTGTGTGGGTTGAGAGTGATGATTCTACGCCGCGACGAGGGGGACGACGGATGGGAGAGAGTCTGTCTGTCTGCACGTGCTGCCGGTGGCCCAGTGAACGGGGAGGCATTAGGAGGGAGGATGTGACCGTAGGATAGCTCTCGGCAGTAGTCGATGGTGGTTGTCAGGTCATGGTGGCATACTCCTGGTACCTGTCCCAGCCGAAGCCGCCGTAGCCCATGCCGACGCCGCATTGTGGCGCGAACATGCTGGGTAGCGGCAGCGCAGGGATGGGCGCCGTGACGACCGACGAGCTGTAGAACAGACCGGCAGACGAGAAGGGCTGGGTGTAGGCCGGGGTCGGCGACGGCAGTTGCACCTCTGACATTGCCATGTTGGCCCAGATGGGCGACGCAGACTCGTGGGATGTCGACGTGACGCTGGGGCTCGACGGCAGCACCCTCCACATGTCGACGGGGGCAGGCATGGCGGGCTGCTGGGTGGGCTGCGACCACATGCCGAGGTGGGCGGGCGAGCTGGGCAGCAGGGGAGGTTGCCTGAAGACGTCGACGACCTTGGGCGGCGGCGGCAGCAGGGGCTTCATGAGACCCAGGATGCTGGTCTTGACGTCGTCGCTCTTTCCGTTGAGGAGCTCGCCGGCACCCTCCTCCTCGAGGCCCTCGAGGGCTGACACGTGGGTGCGGAAGACAAACTTGTTGATGGCCTGGACAAAGTCGTCGTGCAGCTTCTTGCACTGCTGCTCCTTCTCGGACCAGTCGTGGACATTGGCCTTGGCGTCGACGCAGTGAATCTCCTCGTGGTACTCGACAAGGGCGTCGATCGTGTCGGTCGTCAGCTTGTAAGCGACCTCATTGCGCAGCACCATGTCGACGTGAACGATGTAGGCCTCGATGTGGACGAGTTCGTAGTTGAAGAGGGCCTCCACAAGAGGGTTGTCGTCCTTGCGCAGTTGTGACTCGGGGGCCTTGGGCAGCATCAGGGAAGACAGGGTCCAGATGGCGTTGGTGTTGGACAGGGTCTCGGTCAGACATCGCTGGTGTTGCGGGACGCTGTTGAGGGGACGCTTTATCCTATTGATGCGCTTCAGGGTCTGTGTCAGCCAGGGTTCGACTTTGGCGCCCAAGACGACGTTGACGGAGGAGGCGCGGGGTGCGAAGGCGGCGGCCGAGGCCGGTAGAAGTTGCGGAGGCATATCGGAAGACGATGTGGGTGGTGAGAGAGAATCGGCGGCGGGGGGGGAGGGGAGACAAAGGCGGCGGCGTGGGGATGAGTTGCGAGAAGGCCGGGGGGAGGGATTGAGAGCCGGGAGGATGAGAGCCGGGAGGAGTAGGAAATCTGGGGATAAAAAAGAGATGACGGAGCTGGGCGGTCCCAGAGATGACAGGGAAGTGAGTTAGCGTGCACACCAGCTACCGCAAATAAGAAGAAGAGAACGGTGGACGAGGGGCTCGTGAAGAGGAAGAGGGAGGGTGAGATTTCGGGCTGAGGTGGTGCGAGGGTGGTGGGGTGTTATAGTCTGGACTTCTGAGTGAGAGGACGGCAAGGCGAGGTAGGGGGGTCTGTATCTGTGTGTGTGTGTGTGTGTGTCTCTGCCTCTGCCTCTTTTCAAGGGGGGTGGGTGTGTGAGAGCCTCCATATGCAGACTTCAGACCTGCAGACTTGCATACATGGAGAGACCTGCATACATGTAGAGACCTGCCAGCTGAGAGAGAGAGCAGCTGAGAGAGAGAGAGAGAGGAAGAGAAGAGTCTCGAGAAGGGGATGGACGGCTTGACGCGGGCGAGTGGAGGTGGCCTGCATGTTGCTAGTGCCACTGCGGACACATCTTGGTCTTGTCGTCTTTTTCCTTTCCCTACCCCCCTCTCCGCTGACCATGGAAGGCCCCGTACGTACAAGTACCTCATGTCTAGCTGCATGGGAAGAGTGGCCATTCTGGGGCCGGTCCGGTGTGTCGTCAAAAGTCTCTCTTCTATTTTGGATGCGTGTTCACGTCCTTCCCACTGAGGCCGCCAGGATCTGGTCCCGAGAAGCGGCTGCACACTAGACGAGTTGGTTGCCAGTGAAAGATTCGGATGGTTTCCTGCTGGGCTGCCTACATGGTACATCTACCATGTATGTACCATGTATCTACCATGTATGTACCATATATGCCACGATCATCAGCACAAGGACTAGCATGTTGGCTTTGAAGAGGCGCCTTGAAGCACTCACAAGAGGAAACGGGACCCACGGACAGAAACAATTGTGCGCCACCCCTTGCCATCGTCGCGCCGGGATCAAGCTTGGGCGACCAAGAGGGGCGCTTGCGAAAGGTGGCCCGCGAAGGTGGCCCGAGAAAGGTGGCCCAAGTAGGGGGATGGCCTGAAGAGAAGGGCAGATCGCGCCAGGGATCGCATGAGCCGTATTCCCGACCGTTGCCTGTGCCTGTGCCTGTGCCTGTGACCCATACAAGCCCAGTCCCAAGAGCCGGCAGCCCAAGAGCCATGACGAGGCGAGCGGCGAACTCGGCCTCTTCCCTTCGCCCTGTTCGCCCTGTACAGAGGGCTCACCCTGCACAGCGGGCGGCGCAGGAGAAGCCTGGAGGAGAAGAGCCCCGAGGAGCGCCCCAATCGGTCGAGGCGACAGGTGACAGGCAGCAAAGGTACCTGGCTCGCCTGGTACAGCGGCGACGCACGTCTCGAAGGCTGTGCAGGCTTTTGCACCGCGACCGCGACCTGCATGAGAGCCGCCCCAGCGGCCCTGCGCTCTGCCCCGGCTCGCCCATCAGCCAGCCAGCATGCTCCGTTGCGCGGCGGGGACAAGGAGAGGGCAGCTGAACGAATGCAGAATGCAGAATGCAGCAGCGGCAGGGCAAAAAGGCATTCGGAGGTAACCGTTGCTCGCCCCAGGTCACTCATCCACCCCAGGTCACTCATCCACCCCAGGTCACTCATCCAACCCCCTGGCTGCCGACTCCACCCCTTGCGCCGCCCGACGACCGTTCTCACGCTCGACTTGCTCGCCTTGCCATGTTGTCGATTGTCAGTATCACTGGTGTTGCTCCGTTGAGCAGTCAAGGGTATCGATACCCCATCGTGGACCCGAAGACCCAGCCGTTGTTCGCTAGACCTGGACACCAGACACCAGCACCAGACACCGGGACACCAGACACCGGGACACCCATCGTCGCCGTGTTGAAATGCACCACTAGGCGTACGCGCAGGGTTTCGCTGACGACACTCGTTTGACGTCGCCACAGTACAGTCCTCTCATCAACAACGACGGCGCTTCGTCTTACACCCGTCGTAGTAGGTGCATGCAACGGCACAAAGGTGAACCCCGTGCCGCGACGAATCGGTACCTGTCAGTCAGCCCACCTGGCTTCGAAAAGAAACCATTCCGCTTTTTTTCTGATTTCTGATGTCTCTCATCTGCATCATCCCCAGACTTGCACCCCCCCCTTCCCTACTCCCTAGCAAGCCTACTACTGTAGTCCTTCCTCCCGATTTCCAGACGTTCTGTCCATGGTCCACGCCTTGCCAGTAGCAGACAGAAAAGGGGAAACACGTTCCCGCGTGCCGTGATTGGAGCCTATGGAAGGGGAGACGTCCCAGGCCAGACCACCCAGAATGGCTGCGTCCATGCCGTCGTCCCAGTCGGTGGCCATGCAATTTGGCAGGGACGAATTGGCAGGAGGACCACAAGTCCAGGTCGCCTCAGACAGTCCATCACTGCTGCATCGGACGTGGTCTCCTGCCAATTCGTCCCTGCCAAGTTGCATGGCCCCGAGCCCGCATCATGCCTCCAGATTACTGCTGCTCTGCCGTCTGCCAGTCAGAGCCGTCACTTCACAAGCTCAAAGGTTGATAGTCCCGCGGCCCCAACAGACCGTCATCTCGCTCTCCATCTCCGACGGCCATTGCTGTATCCGATCGTTGGACGCGGGCGCGCTGTCGACCCTGCACGTTTGGCGCAAGCGGATCATGACCTGCAGATGGGCTCTTGCTTGCCTTCGCCCGTGCCTTGCCTTTGCGTGGGCTCCAGCGCACCGTGCCGTGCCTACATGATGCATCACGGGTGGCTCGGCCGGACGACAATGGGCATGGTGAGGCGTCCCTGTCTTGGGCTGTGGAGATGATCGTTCGAAACAGGACAGCGCGTCGTGGCCATGCTGAAGACGCCTCGAGGATACATCGTGACTGGATATTGTCATGTGCAGCCTGCGTCTCTCTGTACGGCAGCACAGCTGCTTCAACAGGCCGCGGCGGCTTCAACATACGCCATGGGAACCCCGCGTAACAGGAGTCATCGTCCAGCAGAGACGCCCGAGCCCCCTGACTCGGTCCGGCCTCGCGTTTGGATCCGCGTAGAAGCTTGGACGGGTAACATGCTGCGCCAAATCTAGAAAGGAGGAAAGACCAGAGTTGGCGTTGCCAATCGGCGGGGGGGGTCAATTCCGTGAAAGAGGTGGACGATGCCGGCTCCCCGGATGGCTCCAGTTGACGAGACCTTCGATCCATATTCCCGGTTCTTAGTACTGAACCCCTCCGGGTAGGAGTGTATGGAGTAGAGGGGTGAGTGCGTGAGAACCTATGAGTAGACAGGGGGGGTCTCCCGCGGTGCAGCCAAGTTCACAGTCTTGTGGAGGCTCGAGTCCAGGCCGAGCGAAGGAGTCTGGTGCCATTTCGTGATTGGCTTATAATCAGTACATTCAATGGCTTATTGTCCAATGGGGGTGCTTTTTGCGAGTCCCATGATCCTGAGTGAGACGGTGGCCCTTGTGTGCCAGGCATCATGGCGCCAGAAGTGGGAGCATCGAGCAGAGAGAGGGGTCTCCTTCGGAGGATAGGGTCTCCTTCGGAGGATACTATGGGGTATGACTGCAGAACATGCCCACGAGAGGTCGACAAGCCTCGAGGGTCGACGAACCCGATCGTGAAGCGGCTTCGTCCCGTCAAGGACCGAGCGGAAGCTAGCCATATCAAATCATCCTAGGAGGCCCGGCCGACCGATCGGTCCTCTTTTCGATATGGCTCAATCAACCAGCTGTCCAATAATCTTTGAGAGGTCCTGTATCTCTGCGTGAGGGACGGCCCAGAGGGACGGCCCAGCTCAGGGGTCGAGGGGCAGAAGGGGGTACGGAGGGTCTCAATGGAAGGTGTCAGATTGCCAGTTTGAGGCAGCATCCTAATGCAGTAGTACGGTGCACATGTCGTTGATTGTTTTGTGGTCAATAGTCGTTCCTGGCTTGAGGCTGTAAGCCCGAGAACCGGCCTGTTGGTACGCGTTCAAGGCGTCCCATGCTGTTGGTTGCTCACGCCAGGGTTCGTTGCTCTTCAGCTCCATGTTCCATGCCAGCGTAGCAGCCCGGGTAATTGTTGCGCACCACCTGACCTGTCAGCAAGTCCCGAGCAGAGCCAGAGCAGGGCGACGGATCGTCGATGGAACGTGTCATTCTGTTTGGACGTTTTACGATTGCGCAGCGGCGGCAACGCAGCATGATTTCAGAGATGGCTATATTGTTGAAAAAGGCTGGGAGACCACGGGCCCTTGCGCGCTCTGTGGCTGGTACTGACAGCCCGGACAAGTCTTGCCGACCGCCTTGTGACTTGATCGCGGCCATCACGAGACGACAGGAAGCCAGGGGGGGTTCGGATCACATGAGCATCTTGACCGCTCTCGAGAAGCCGGATGGAAAAAGAACATGGAAGGTCCGAAAGTCGCTCAGGGTGACATGACGGTGTGCCAACCGTAGGAGACGACCCGGAGGAGGCTCTCGTTTTGGGGCTTTCGTGATCCACCCGCCAGGACCGAGCCGACCGTTGCGCGGTTGTCGATCCTCTAGGCGGCGCCAAGCAGCAGGGCCATCGGCTGGCGTTGTGCGTTGCTCGTTGCTGTCGGGACCCTTCCTTGCCTTCCTTGCCTTCTTCTCGTCCTTTCGCGAAGACTGGACGAGACCGATAGGGCGAAACGAAGCGATTCGTATTCCAGGCAAATGGGGTACCGGATGTACGGGAACCTAGCATGGGGACAACCAACCCCTCGTACCCGGATGCAGGTCTGCTGGCCTGCCCTCGCCACAGGGTATTCGCAGGCAGGTCTCAGTCGATCGTACCGGGTCATCGGCCCACAGGAAGAGGCCCTGCAGTGCCAGTGGAGGCAAATGCAGGAGCACATGCTTTGACGCAGGTCAACGGACGCTGTCGAAGGCCAAGTCGAAGGCGAAGTCGAAGGCCAAGTCGAAGGCGAAGTCGAAGGCCAAGTCGAAAAGGCAAAGTGCGCAGAAGGAGAATGGATGATGGGCGATCGCAGAATGCTGATGCTTTGCTTGCTTGGGACCGGAGACGACCGAAAGTCCACAGGTGCCAAAAAAAGAACGAGCCGGGCTGGGGCGCCACACCCGTGGCAAAAACTGGCGTGAGGCGCAGCAGGGAACGCCAATGCGGAGGGGCATCCCCTGCCGCCATGCACCTGCCGCCATGCACCTTGGGGTGGCTTGCGTGGCATTGCTGCTGGCATTGATGCGGCATTGATGCCACAGCGCCTCTCTGCACTCTACCATGTACCTACTTTACCTTGCTAGCTAAGGTACTCAAGCTGCCTAGACTGCTGTTGTCGGATGCCTCCCACATCTCTGATGCTGTCACCATCTGCATCGCTGCCAACTTTTGCAGAGACTGATCGTCCCGGCAGTTTGGATGGCCGCCTACACAGTTCCACGGTGCGTCCGGATGGTCATGATCCCTGGATAGCTGAGTGAGGGTGTCGTTTTAGGCCGCCGGTACGTGTCTTGACGTGTTTAGCTGGTGATGGCTTTCTGGGTGGATGGCTGTCTTTCGTCTGCAGATACGAATCCAGGCCAAGGGCGATTCTGCCTTGAACCATATCACATGATACGGAAACCTGACTTCCATGCGGTTGCGATATTCATGTCTAATGTTTTACTACCTTATTTGAGCTTACCTCTCAAGCACACGACCTTTGAACTAAGCTACCAGGGCTGCCAGGTACCTTAGGTACCTTAGGTACCTTGGGTAGCTGAGCACTGTAGCGGAATGCAGGTTCATGGTTGACTGATCTTGACGTTGAGACTGCGAGGTTGTTGAGACACCCGAAACCGAGAACCTGGCCGTACATCGTATAGACAGACCATGGCATCCACTGCCACAGATTAAACCATTTCGCTTTTGATGCGACTGCGACGCTTGCTCGGATTCGCACTCCATGTCAACAGTGCATCGCCTCGCATCGGGAAAAACCCACACGTGATTGTCCCGGAAGGCTGCCAGCTGTCTGCCACTCTGCCACTCTGCCAATCTGCCACTCTGCCACTCGTTCCTAGGCTTCCCCTAAGCGCCAGCCTGCCGACGTCATCCGACGAGATGCTCCTTCACGAGCTTCCTTCCCCTCAAGCTTCCGACCTTCCCCCATCCCCAGGCCATTGATGTAGAGAATACGCATCGATACCATCAAAGCCCGACCTTACAACGCCTCCGAGGCTTCCTGTTTCTCCGTGGTGCTGCCATCATCATGTCCGAGCCAGCACCAGCACCAGCACCAGCAGCTGCTGCGGTGCCGTCGAAACCACCACCGACGACAACGAGCTCCAAGCAGCAGCACCAGCAGCACCAGCCCAGTCCAGCCATCCCCGTCGGCCTCAACGAAGCTGGACTCGACTCGCCCACATTTCGCGCCACGGCCGCTCACTTCTCCGACCAGGTGGAGGCCATTGAACGATGGCTTGACGACTACACAAAAGCATCCTCCAAGGTGGCACGCGAGATCCTCGCCCTCGAAGACAACATCAACCTCTGCCTCGCCAAGAGCTTCCCGCCCGCCGCCGCCGTCGACGGCGTCATCGACAACGACTACACGCTGCTCGCCCTGCGACGGTCGAGCGATGGCATCCGCGCCTGGTGGTCCCAGGTCATCTCGACCATGCGCAGGATGGACGGCATCAACGTCGACCCCATCCGCGCCTTCCTGACAGGCGAGCTGCGGTCCTTCAAGGAGACGCGCCGCGCCCTCGACAGCGCCCAGCGACAGTTTGACCAGATGCTCGCGCGCTACGTCGCCCAGCCCAAGACCAAGGAGCCCTCGTCGCTGCGCGAGGACGCCTTTGCCGTGTACGAGGCCCGCAAGATCTACCTCGCCGCCTCGATGGACTTTTGCCAGATGGCGCCCCACCTGCGCTTCTCCCTCGACAAGCTGCTCGTGCGCGTGAGCGCCGACATGTGGAAGGAGCTGACGCGCGCCCACGAGTCGGTCATGGACGTCATGCGCTGGGGCACCGAGATGGACCGCATCCGCGGCTGGTCCAGGGAGATGGACGCCACCGAGTCCGTCTTCCGCCGCGAGCTCATGCGCCTCCGCAGGGACATCAGCCACGCCGCCAAGGAGGCCACCAAGCCGTCGCGCGAGCTCGACGACTACAGCGCCTCGACCGTGCCCTACCTCGGCAGCCGCGGGCCCGTCAGCGTCCAGACCCAGGACCGGGCCGCCGTCATCTCCGAGAAGCAGGGCTGGCTCTTCCTGCGCAGCGTCTACGGCAAGCCCGCCCGCACCACCTGGGTGCGCCGCTGGTACTACTGCCGCGACGGCATCTTCGGCTGGCTCATCCAGGGCCCCCAGGGCGTCCTCCAGGGCGACGAGATTGGCGTCCTCCTGTGCAGCGCCAAGCCGGCCGTGGCCGAGGACCGCCGCTTCTGCTTCGAGATCAAGACCAAGAGCCAGACCATGGTCCTGCAGGCCGAGACCCAGGCCGAGCTCACCGAGTGGCTCGAGGTGTTCGACGTGGCCAAGAGGAAGGCCTTTGACGCGAGCATGGGCCGTGACAGCACGCCTCTGCCCTCTGGCCTCGACCCGGCCTTTCACATCACGCCGCCGCCCGTTCCCGAATTCTCGGCCAAGTCCCTTGACGCCCAGCTCGCCGGCGACGAACTGCCCGCTGCCGCCCTCGACAGGGCAGGCACCCTACCCGTGCCCGGGCCCGACGGAACCCTGACGAGCCGCGCCAGCTTTGACATCAACGCCGCTGGCGGGTCGCGCCGCTCCATCACGGCCCTGGGCCGCGATCTGGGCCGCGAGATGATGATCCGCGAAGAGGGCGAGTCGAGCCGGGAACATGCGGCAAGGCTCATCCAGAAGCTTGATCTCCACCGCAAGGGCACCTTTGGCAGCGAGCTCGACGCGCGTGGGCACGGAGCTGGCGCGCAGGGCGGCGGCGGCGTGGTGGCGGCGGTGGCATCGCGAGCCTCATTTCTGCCAGCCACGGCTTGCTGCCGGGGCATCCCGCGTCCATCATGGCACCCGTCTCCGGAAAACCTGCACAGAGCCCCGCGTTTGCCCCTCGGGAGCTCCTCCAGGGCCGCCTGGCGCCCGCTACGCTGGCCAAGGCGCCGGTGCTGACGGCTCTCAGTCGCACGGCTGTTGTCGTCACGGGCGACAAAGACCTCGCGCTGGATGCGGCCAGTCATCTGCCGGCCGCCGTCATGGCAAACTACTGGGGCAGCAATCCTTGGGGCACGGTCTACGGCACGGGCCACGGCAGCCCCAGGACGCCCGGGCAGATGGACGAGAACCCATTCGGCCTCGTGGTCACCGAGGTCGGCAAGGCCGGCGAGGAAAAGCCAGCGCCTCCGGTCGGCGCACATCGGAAGACTGTCAGCGTCGACACGACGAGGGACGTGCAAAAGACAGCCCAGCCTAGACAGCAGGTCGAGACGTTCCCGCCGGGCTACCCGCAGGATCTGCGCGCGCAGCACCCCCAGTTTCGACTCCTCTTCCCCGCCGTGCCGCTCGACGAGAAGCTCGTGCTCGTCTTCAGCGCGGCGTGGACCAGCTCGACGGGCAAGGAAGACACGGCGCCGCAGGGCGAGGGCATTGCGGGCAACGGACGCATCTTTGTCACGTCGGACAATTTGTACTTTTACGGCGAGCAGCTCGGTCTCGTTATCGCATACACCATGAGCCTCGACATGATCACAGAAGTGACGGCGGCACCAGGCAAGGAGTGCGACTACATTTACCTCCACCTCGGCGACGAGTCCAACGACACTGGCTATTCACGCATCACGATCAAGATTTTCTTGGAGAACCTTGTCCTGCTCCACGCACGTCTCAACCTCCTCGTGGACGACCTCCAAGCCGAAGAGCCCATGGCGCTGCAAGAGCTCGTCACGGCGCTCATCGGACTCGAGCACGACACGACGCAACGGCGGCCCAGCGTCGACAGCTGGGAGGAGATCCCGTCCAGCACACCGTACGACGACGGCACGACGGCGGGGCGGCCGGCGCGGCGCGGCAGCCACGCGCCGGTGCCACGGCTCCACGTCAGCCACGTCAGCCATGTCAGCCATGTCAGCCACGCGCACCTGCGGCCGGCGCCCAAGTTCCAGATGCCGACGCACGCGGTCGTGTTCGAGCCGGACGACATGCAGCACAAGGTGGCGGAGCGGCACTTTGAGCTCAGCGCCAAGGCGTGCTTCCACGTGCTCTTTGGCGACAAGAGCTTCGTGTTCCCCAAGCTCTACTTTGAGCGGCGGGCGCAGCGGATCGCGCAGGGCCCGTGGGCGCTGGGCGACCAGGGGCGGCTGCGGCGCGACTTTACGTTCAAGGTCGACTACGCCGACATGCTGGGACGGTCGCGGTCGGCCGACTTCGTCGACCACCAGGTCATTGACGTGTTCCAGGACCACGTCACGTACGTCGTCACGCACGTCAAGACGGCGTGGCACCTGCCGCACTCGCAGCACCTCAAGCTCGTCGTCAAGATTGTCATTACGCACGTGGCCAAGTCCAAGTGCAAGCTGGCGGTGTACACGCGCGTCGACTGGTCCAAGACGCCGGCCTTCTCGAAGCGGCTCGTCGAGCGGCAGGCGCTCGACGACGCCGACGGCGACGCCGAGGACCTCGCCGAGGTGGCGACGGACCAGGTGCGCAAGCTGGGGTCGCACAGCCGCACGAAGCGGGCGATCCAGGTGTACGGCCACATTGGGCAGCAGACGCAGGTCGTCGTCTTCTCGCCGGCGGAGAAGGACGCGGCCGCTGCCGGGGGCGGCGGCGGCGGCGGCGCGCGCAGGCAGGTCATCAAGCAGCGCACGCTGACGGCCATGCTGCTCGAGACGGTGCGGTCGTTTGGCGAGAGCGCCGTGACGTCGGTCATCATGTGGGCGATTGCCGGCGTGCGCACCGTCTTCTCGGTCGTCACGGCGCACCGGCTGCTGCTGCTGCTGCTGCTGGGGCTCAGCGCGCTGACCAACGTCATCTGGGCGTCCAAGGAGAACTCGGGCTGGTGGTCGGAGCGGCGGGCGGTGCGGTTCATGAAGAATGTGGGCGTCGGGCCCAACGTCGTCATGAGCAAGGCCATCTACATGGCGGACCTCGGCGAGGCGTCGGGGGCGGCACGGAACGGTAGCTCGCCGGAGAGTGCTTGGTATGTTTATTTTCCCCTCCTATTTCTTTTCTCCTATTTTTTCCCCCTTCTCTTTTTCTCCTGCTTTTTTTTTTTTTTTTTTTTTTTTTTTTTTTTTTTTTTGAGGAGGAGGGAGACTTCTCATGCTAGGCAAATTCGCTGCTAACAAGGACAGCTTCTCGGCGTTCCAGCGCGTGACCAACGCGACGGACCTCGACGCGCCGTTCGAGGGCGCCGGGTCGACGCTGACGTCGGCGTCGAGCCGGGCGACGGCGCGGCGCATCCGGCGCACGCGGCAGCGGCTGGGGTCGTACCGGCACGAGCTGCTCGTGGCGATGCGCGTCGTCAACAGCATCGAGCGCGAGATGGTGCAGTCCGAGTGGGAGAACTGGCTGGCGGACGAGACGACGCGGTGCGACCAGCTGCGGACGGTGCTCGCCGAGGAGGCGGTCAGGACGAAGCGCGGGGGCGAGACGAAGCGCGGGGGCGAGCAAAAGGTGCTGCCGCCGGTGGAGGGCGAGGCGCGCCAGGCGACGCTGCGCGCGTGGCACGATGCGTACTGCGGCAGCTGCCGGGTCGAGCAGCGGGCGCTCGCGCAGGGGCGTGATCCTGTGACGGGGCTGTAGCGGGTGCCTGGTGGATGGCGACTGGTGGTCATGGCGATGGTGTTGCATTCGGGACCTCAGGTGGTGATTGGGGTTGTGTGTCCATCATGGGTAGTGAGCGGGTGGCCGTGGTATGACGATGCCCAGAGCATAAGCAGCAAGGGTGTAGAGTTCCCATGCACTGATTTTCTGTTCCTTTCTCAATCCCAACTCGTGCCCTGTGCCAAGCGACATTTTCCCTTTTGGAGCGAGCATGACCTCAGGTAAAGGAGCGTCAGATACGCGGGATGGACTGGGCGCTCCAGCCATGGCAGAACTCAGCGTATATCGCTTGATCGCACTGTATCAGATCAGAATGCTTCAAGCAGGTCGGTCGCGCCGGCTCCTTGGCCCTCAAGCACCTCAAGCACCTCAGACGGTTGTCGCTCCAGTCGCTCCGAAAGGGAGAGGCGTGATGATGGTGGCCGAGACAGGCAGCCAGAAAGGCAGCCAGGAAGGCAGCCAGGGGGTTCACTGCAATTCGTGGCGATCTCGCTGGGGTAGATGGGCTTGGCTGGCGGACGGTTGGGGGCTTGTTCTTGTGGATAAAAACCGGTATTCGTCGCGTGTTGGCTGTCGGATTTGCTGTCTGGGGGTCGAGAGAGGCGTGTGCGTGAAGAAGTGTGGGATTGAGGGTGGGGGAAGAGTTGGGAACCGAGTGGCTCGTGCCTCGTGCCTGGAGACTCTGGCTACAGCGTCTCAGCTTCTACAGCGTCTCAGCTTCTACAGCGTCTACAGCTTCTACAGCGTCTGCTTCCGACCTAGGTGCCTTGCCTAAGGTAGGTAGGTGCCTGGTAATGTACCTGGTACCGACCCCGCACTGCCAGCGGTGACGTCGAACCGTCCAGGGTCTCACGCCCCGCCCCAGGTGTCACGCTGTCGGCAGTGGCATGGGCCGTCACTTGCTTCTGACGTCAAAGATGACCAGGCTCGCGCTGGCGTCTCTGGGTTTTGTTCTGGAGGGAAAGCTCCGCCGTCTCCGGCGTGTACAGGAACCTACCAGGCTTGCCAAGTGCCTACCTATAAGTGGGTAGTACTGGTAGTAGGTACCGACCTTACCTAGGTACCTAGGTACCTAGGTGGGGAAGCAGTTGACAGCGGCCCAGAAGGAAAGGGCACGACACACGACAGCCTTAGGTAAGGCTCCTTCCTTCCTGCCTTCTCTCTCCACGCCATAAACGACTAGGCCTCCATCCGTCGTTCCCGATTGTCACGAACATCTTCACCAGTATTTCTAACCCTCCGCGTTCCGCCATTCCGCCTGTCCCGGGCAATCGTCCTCATCATCCTTTCATCGTTTGTCGTCCTCGTCTTCTCGTCCTCTCGTCCTCTCGTCCTGCTTTGGCGTATGCGAACCCCAATCTACTGCACGACCCGCAAACGAGCCATACAAACCCGAACGATACGACGCAGAAGCACCCGACACGGACACGCCACCGGGTTCGGCAGCCTCCCATTCCTCCCATCATCACCCCACCACGCCGACACCACATTGACATTCATGCGCTCGGACACTTCGGCGCCCACGCACGACAACGGCAGCCACGAGGTGTCCCGACCCAGAGCCCACACCTAACCACCTTTCCACCTCACACCAGAACCACAACCACAACCACAACCACAACCACAGCACAGCCTGTGGCAGAACACCCCCATCATGCCGTCCCACCATGAGCCCTTTGCCGCTCTGGGCCCCGTCGACTGGTCCGCCGTGCCCGCCGACGACCTGTCCTCCTTCCTCGCCGACACCTTCGCCTCGGCCCAGACCATCATCGACTCGATCCCCGTGCCCCGCCCCCGTCCAGGCCGCCACCGCCGCCCGCCGCGCCCGCGCCCAGACAGACCCGCCCCAGCCCTCCGTCGCCCTCAACGCCGCCATGGCCGCCCGCCAGTCCGGCGCCTCCATCAGGACCGCCCAGGACCTCATGAAGGAGTGGAAGGACGTCAAGGTCAACCCCAAGGACAACCCCCTCGCCATCAACGTCTACAAGCTCGCCGCCAAGGACGGCCGCGGCAGCTGGTTCGCCCGCCGCAGCATCCACGACGGCCTGCCTTTTGCCACCTGGAAGCTCGGCCTCGAGCGCGAGTTTGCCGAGAGCATCAAGGTCCAGACGGGGCCCGGCGGTGGCAGCATCCGCGGCATCGGCGCCGACCAAAAGGTCGAGCATCATGTCGTCCGCGACGCCGGCAAGGCCGAAGGTGAGTGAGACCGTCGCCACCTACTGTGCCTACACGCACCCACTGTGCCTACCGCACTTACTGGTCCACACCTGAGTATCACTGACCCGTCCAGTCTTCCAGCTGTCGGCCCAGTTCCCCGGCCCAACCACGCCGCGCGACTTTGTCACCCTGCTGCTCTCGTCCGACACCGCCGACACGAAACCCGTGCCCCACGGTGCCCCGCGCCCGCTGCGCACCTTTATGATCCTGTCAAGGCCGTGCGACCATCCCCAGTGCCCGCCGCGCCAGGGCTACATCCGCGGCCAGTACGAGTCGGTCGAGATCATCCGCGAGGTGCCCAGCGACAAGCCCAGCGCCATCAAGAGGGCGCGCTCCTCCATCGACGTTGGCGCCGACGGCTCGCAGCAGAGGCGGGCCGTCGCCGAGGACATGAGCAGGGACGCCGTCCTGCGTGCCGCCACCAAGGTCGCCGCCAGCGACGAGAGCCGGAACCGCGGCCTCTCCGTGGACAGCGCGCCGGCACGAGACGACGCCGGGCACCACGTCGACGCCATGGACGCCATGGACGACAAGGACGACGACAACGACGACCATGATGCGCCGACGACCGTCGAGTGGCTCATGGTCACGCGCAGCGATCCCGGCGGCAACGTCCCCCGCTTCATGATCGAGAGGGGCACCCCTGGCGGCATAGTGAGCGATGCCAGCAAGTTCCTCAACTGGCTGACGGCCAAGGCCGCCTGCGACTTTGCCGACGATCCCGCGCCGGCCAAGGAGGAGGGGGCCGCCGCCGCCGCCGCCGCCGCCGTCGATGGTGCCAAGACGGACGCTGTGAAAGCCGAGGAGAGCAAGGCGACGTCAAAATCGCTGCCGTCGACAGCGCCCACAGCCAATCTCGTCCCCGACAGCGCGGCGCCGCAAGACACGAGTGGAGCAGGGGACCACAGCAATGGCATGGCCAGCAGCAACGGTCTCTACGGCATGATCTCGGGCGCCTTTGGCTACGCGACAGAAGCCATGGCCGGTCGCCTTCCCGTCGGCCTGCCCGGCTTCTTCCAGAGCCAGCCCAACAGCAGCGACGAGACGCTGTCGTACAGAAACGCCCGCGACGAGGACGACTCGGACTCGCTCAGCACCATCAGCGACACGTCTTCGGTGCGCTCCTTCACATCGGCCATGGAGCGCACGGAGAGCGCGCAGAACGCCCTGTCGGCCGAGGCGTTGCGCGACGACGCCGTGTCGACGCAGTCGTCCGAGTCGCGCAGCCTGCACGCGCCGCTGTCGCACTCAGCGACGCACCACGACAAGGAGCTCCGCAAGCTCCAGGAGCGGCGCCGCAAGATGCAGGACAAGCTCGACAAGCTGCAGAGCCGCATGACGGCCAAGCGCGCCGACGGCACGCAGTCGACGCAGCGCGACGAGGCGGCCGCCGCGCGGCTCCGCGAAAAGCACGAGCGCGAAGTGGCCAAGCACGAGGAGAAGTACCAGCGCGAGCTGCGACGGCTCGAGGAGAAGCGCGCACACGATGAGCGCAAGGCCGAGGCGCGCCGCCGCAAGGCCGAGGAGCGCGAGCTCAAGGCCAACGCCGCCATGGAGCTCGACAAGGTCCGCCAGCAGCGCGACCTCGCCCTCCACGAGGTCGAGCTGCTCAAGGCCCAGGTCGGCGAGCTGCAGGCCCAGAACACGCGCCTCGTCGCCGACATGGGCAAGCTCGGCAAGGGCATCACGGGGCTCCGCCGCCAGGACTCGGGATGGAGCACAAAGTCGGCGGGTGTCCGGGCGCCCGACAAGGTACCGCAGGCCGCCGCCTCGTCGTAGCCTCGTCGGTCGCTACTTGAGTGCGAGGGGGGAGGGGACTATAGTCATGGTGATTTTGGGATGAACAACACGGTGTTGGAAAGGCATGGCGTTTGGGGACTGCAGCGATGACTGAGATTTCTCGTCAGATGGTCGTTTTTTCGTTTTTTGATCTCGACCTTGACGGCCACAATGGAACACTTGGCTACAATATTGATCACTAGGCTGACTGCTGTTACCAAATGCACGGTACACCCCACCGGGCTGTGAATTTTGTGATTTTCCTTGTATAGACCAGTCTCGCAACCAAGAAGAGAGATCAGGGGCGTGACCCGGCGCTGCCGAATGGCCTCGTAAAACCGGAGCACGAGGACCTCAGACTGCTGTTGATCATGCTTCTCCGCGCTGGAGCACACGCGCTTTGAACGAGTTGGTTCCTCGGCCCACCGGTATCAAGAAGCTTCCGGGTTGCCCGGATCGAACTGGCGGGTAGGACGACCAGCTTCCAAAGCGACTTGTTGGCGCAGCAGATGCGTTGATGTCACGGAATATCAATACATTTGACTCCACGTCGATTACATCCCAGCGAAGTTTAAATCTGCTTTTCGCGTTGACCACGTCCTAGGATCCTGTCGTTCCATAATGAGCAGTATGCACCAAGAATTTCAATCGCTCGATGAAAGGTGAGGTCGTTGACACCGGCACCAAGGAAATGCGGAAGCGCCGAAACTAGGCCCAACCCCACGAGGTGAAGCGGGGGGGGGGGATTCATAAATCCCCTCGGAGCATACGTCCCTACACGCTTCCTCTCATGATTTTCTCTTTTGTTTTGCATCACCCAAATCGTGCCTACACTCTGTCGCAACAGGCTTCGCAGGTATCGATTCCAGCCGGCATCGCCGGAGCACAGAGGCGTGCCAGGAGCCGCTGCTGGTCGGCCCCACTTGGTCAATGAGGTCATGAGCCCCCACGCCGACCCGTTTCGGTTACGAGACGAGGTGGCCGAGTGGTTGAAGGCGCAACTTTTAAGCCAATCCCTGATTGCACAGTTGTATCGTGAGATATCTTGGGTTCGAATCCCAATCTCGTCAACACACCTTCTTTTTATCTTTTGCACGTCTGCCTGCAATAGCATGACGAGCCGCTCATCAAATAGTCGAATGCTGACCTGATATTCAAAATGCAAATTGCTTTGGGCCGCCGAAGAGAACAGCACCGCCCACTGGACGCCTGACGTTTGTCTAGCAAGCACCGTCTAACGTTTGTCTAGCGAGCACCATGGACCGCAATATCTACCCCAGCAACTCCAGAATCATGCCGTGCACCGCCTTGTCCGATGCCACACCCTTGAGCTCCGCCATCAGCGCCCTGAGCTTCTCGGCCTCCCCGCCCTGCCTGGCGACGACGGCCCTCGCGGCCAGCAGAACCCGGATGCAGACGGCGTAGGCATCCGGCATACCCGTCCACCCGAGTGGTCCGTCCCGTTCCTTCTCGACGTGCTCCTTCAGCGCCTTCACCCCGTCAGCGGCCCATGCTCCCAGCGCAGCGTCGTCGACGCCGGCAGGGAGGCTCGCGTAGACCCCCGCCCACCGCTGCGCCTCGCGCACCTCGTCGATGTACTGGTTCTGCTCCTCGACGGCGAACAGCGCGTCGTCAAAGTGGAGCGCCGTCGCGAGCTGCTGGGCCGCCGAGGACGTGCTCGTCAAGCGCTGCGCGACGGCCGCTTGGAAGGCGGACAGCTGGCTGTAGGATGACTGCAGGAGCTGCAGGAGGGAGTCGGCTGCGCGAAGCGGGAGCAGAGTCTGGTTGGCCAGGACAGGACGCGACGCGAGCGCGGCGAGGGCGCGAACTTCCTCGTCGTCGTCGTTGAGGGCGTCGTAGAGGGTGAGGAGCACGGGCATAAGGGCGGGCTCTGAAGAGGGGCACGCACAAAGATACGACTTGAGGGATTGAGTTGCTGCGAAGCGCGTATCGAACGGCTGCATCATTAGCTGTGGTGCACGGTATGGATAAGGTCGGAAACACATACCTGGTCTTCATGGCCTGCGGCAGAAATCATGGCTGTCCAGTTCTGGAGAGTATCGAGGGCATGACCTTGGGAGTTTGCGGCCTGACGGAGTGTGGACGTTGCCATGATGGAACCACTGAGACGGATGACAGCGTTGGAGAGGCCGGGGTTCAACGACTTGGCGAGAGTCTCGTTCCAGAGGGCCGTCAGGCTAGCATCTGACGGAATCAGGTCCAGACGTTTTTGCTCCAGAAGATCATCAATCGTATCGGCGAGGTTTTCCAGGGCTACAATGCGCGGCTCGGGAGCCTCCGCGTTGGCGCCCACGCCCAAATACACCTTGCACAGCTCGCCACCCAACTCGGGACTCATGATGGCCTGAAACACGACCGGGATGGCCTCCAACATGTCGACCGCGGCCTCTGGCTTGCTCGATGCCGTGTCGATGGCCTTGAGCGCAAGGAAAGCCACGTCACGGCTCGACGCCGCTTGGTAGACTTCCTGGACCGCAATCTGGCCGCTTAACAACGCACTGTGAGCATAGCTTGCATAAGCATCTTCTCGTACAATCTCGGCTGGCGTGGTGGCGGTCCCAGATGCAAAGGCAGAGATGACGTTCAGGATCTCAGCATACGTTGCGTGTGCCTCGGGGCATCGGAGGAAGATCTCGGGAGCCTGTTTGTAGAGGTCGATGACCAAGTCCAACAACGGAGAAGTGTCCCCTGATGCGTGTCAGACCACCTGAATGAGAAAGAGAAAACCAGCATGTGCACTTACTCTGCGCCAGCTCTGGCAAAACATTTGCTAGCTTCTCGAAGACGTATTTTATGGTGAGTAACACACCGTGCAACCTGTTGGCCTGCGTCAACACCCGTTGCCTTTCAGACCCATCCACAAGCTCCTGGATAGATTGCAGCCAGCCGTCATGCAGAAGGAAAGAGCATAGAGCACGAGCTGTCATCTCCCGAACGTGCCACACCGGACTGCCCAGGTACTCAGTGACAAGGCCATACAGCTCTGCGCGCAAGTCCTCAGGAGGTCCAGCTCGGCGGATAATGTCCAGAGCAGGGAACACAGACTCGGCGGCAATGGTGCCGGTGCTAGGCTTCATGACTTCCTGTCCGGAACGCAAAAGGTTGAGCAGCACAACTGGGATGATGGGGTACTTGTGGTAATGAACTCGCGAAGCCTTTCCGTCCCAGCCGGCCTCGATAAGGGTCTTGCTTTCATTCGTGCCGAAGAGGTTGTCAATCAGACTCCTGAGGAGGAGGAGGCCGCTGTTCCGTATCGCCCATCTGCTCGCTCGCTTTAGTGTTGGTCACTTTGCTTGGGCCTGGGTACTTACACTTCGGCTTTGAGGCAGCCAGCTGCGAGCTCGAGACACTGGGGAATGTGTCGTTCCACCTTGCCCATTTGTGCAAGGTGGGCGCTTTTGAAAATGTCCTTCAAGCAGTTAAGGGCATGGACTTGGGGTAGGTTGGAGCCGTCAGTCTTAGTGACGCGCGCCTCGCGTTGCGCAACGTCCGTCAAGTCTGCAATCACGCGATCGAAAGACGGGGATTCCGCATCGGCGGACAGGATGCCAGTGATCATGGAAGGGATACCGGCCGACCGGCGAGTTGTCGACGCATGGGTGAGGATACACTCCTGGCTTCCCTATATCCTTGTCAGCAATTGACCTAGCATATTGGATCAGCAAACTGACCTTGTACCAGACGTCCAGCAGCGTCTCGCCTTCAGGCACCCAGTCAGGCTTTCCTCCAGAGTATTGCACAAGTTGGCAGCACGTGGCAAAAGTCAAAGACACCGTTGAGAAGGCACCTCTGTGTCGCAAGTTCGTCAATTGATCAAAGGTCAACTGTCCAAAGGCAGAAAATGTGGCGACAGATGGACGTAAATCGCCCTCTCTCGCTTTGCTTTTCAGTGACACGATCATCGCACGCATGAGATTGCTAAGGCATGTCAGCAGGTCAGGTTTTGAGAAGGCGTATTGGGGACAAACCTAGATTCGTGGATGGCACGGAAACTGTAGCTCAAGAGGTCTTTAGTATCGAGGCCCTCAATGTCCTCCAGCTCCTGCGGTAGATGGCCCTCTGGCGAGTCATCGCAGAGGACGTATGAGACAGTCGCCCAGATGCGCTGGCAGGCTTTTACCAGACGAAACTGTAGGTGGTCCAGAGCCTTCATCTCAGGCTCGGTGTAGGTGGCTTCGCAAAGGCTCTCCCACACGAAGCTGATTTCGTTAGCTACTTACAATCGTAAGGTTGAATGGAGTCGTACCGGAGAGAGGCGAAGTAGCCATAGATGGGGGCTTCAAGAACGGCTTTGCCAAGATCAATTTCTGCGAGAGAGAGCTTGCTCTCCAACAGGTCTACGAGCGAAGCTACCACGAGGAGTCGCTCCTGCTGTTGGCCGTGGATTCGACTCAGGAGCTCGTACGAGCGAGCAAGGCCATCAGAGTGGTCAGCCCTCGCGGTGCGACGTGTGATATCTTCGGCTCGTCGGAGGAATTCAGTGACGGTCCTGATATGGCCCAGGGGACTGATGGCGTCCTTGAAACGAGGCTCGGTGAAGAAGATCATCAGAATCTCGTTACTGATAGCCCTTACATCTTCAAAGGCGTCCATGACCAGGTCAAAAAGTATCCGAGTCCACGTGGTGTCAAAGGTGCTGAAGAGAGGAACCTCTTCCTCATTGGAATCCCAGACTTTCGAGTCATCCAGCTCTATGCGGATGATGAAGAGCGTTGCGCGGAGGATGGAGAAGTGACGCTGATAAGAAGCTGTTGGGATGAGCTCTGACTTGAGGAATTGCAAGAACCACGCGACGAACTTCTTGTGCTGCGCCAAGACGTTCTCAATCCTTTCCTTTGGCCACGCCATTGCCTCCTCAGCAGACGTGCCAACCTTGATCTTGTTGGCCTTTGGCGTTGTCTTTGGTGGCGCTGCGTCGACCCGATGAAGCGCCTTTTGAAGGAGAGGAATGGCGCCTCGAGCACGCCGGTACATGGCCTTGACCTTGCTCAGAAGCTCCATGCGAAATCTAGCGCTGGGGTCTGAGAAGTGGTGAGGGAGGTGCGTCTGCAAGAGACGGAGTGAGGGCTCAAAGAATGGCCTAGTTGTTGAGTTTGAAGATATGATGAGCGATAACGCCAGCGATCGAACTTCGGACGACGGATGGGACAACACGCTGTCGAGCATAGCTTCCTCGAGGACGACTGCAGACTTGGTTTCCGAGGGAACACCGCCTGCCAATGTCAGCATGAGGCCTGAAAGATAGAGCGAAGGAAGCAGTACCAGGTTCATCCACGATTCCGACCTTCTTTCCAGTTTCCAAGGCATTGAACCTCAGCAAAGCCTGGACATTGACCTCCTCCTCATCGTCTTCACTCGTCACCGATACCGGGTCCAGCTCTTTCATAATCTCCAGGAACCGCAGAGACCCGGCGCGGTCCTGCTTAAATACAGGGAGGAAGACATAGTTTTTGACGCTATCCAGCAGCATGGGTGCTCTCGTTAGAGCTTCCTGAAGCCATTCGAGCCATACCTGGACGGTGAACTGTTGGCTGATCTCGCCCTTTGACTTTTGCAGGGCTTGGTAGAGTGTCACAACCAGCTTGCCCGCGTTGGCACGCATAGTGATCATGCGATGAAAAAGTTGTGCAAATATCGCCCGCCACAGATCCAAATCTGATGGCCATACAGTTTGTGCGTGAACTCTGCGGTAGCTCTGTCCAATGTCCTTAACGGAGAAGAGCCTCTTGGAAGTGAACTGATCCAAGGCCTTCATGGACGACTTGACCAGAGGTCTTGAGGACTTGGGTCCGACGATGGATACCAGGGTATCCAAGATGTTCAGCTTGACTGCAGATCCTACCGTTGAGTCGGGGTTCTGGTTGATGAGATTTGGGAGAAGGTCCAACACAAGCCTCAGGTGCCTATGCGCCTCCACCTCGTTCCACTCGATGAAGAAATTGAAGAGCTTCAAGCTCATCTCCTCCGTGTAGGCCCATTCCTGGATCTCAGGAAGCTTGGATTTTGTGCACTGAGCCACAAAACCACAGAGCTTGACGCACGAGTTGCCGGATGTCGCTTTCAGCTGGGATGACTTGGCCAAGAGGTCATCAAATATGCCTTGAGCGGTGCTGTGTTGAGATTAGCGTAAGCGCTCATTGAGTGAATCAAGATTTCTTACGGCATGCGAGAATCATCGGGCTGTCCCTCCACCCATTTTACTAGGTCTTGCGTGTTGATGAAATTCTCATGAATTGGGCGCTCCAGCGTGGCGTCCATGATGGTCGAAAATCTTGCCGCTTACACGTGAATTTGGCGTGCAAGTTTGCAGATGGGGAGAGATTCAGCTCAGACGGACAGACATGAGGAACAGATCTGTTGCGAGATCCGGCCTTTTCTGTATAGAGATATTTCCCAGTTCTTCAGGTCAGCAATCGAGTGCTCAGAGGGTGTTCCAAAAATCCATAGGCCTTCCCATCTTGGCCTGGGTCGCGAATTCTCCTGCTGTCCCACCAAGCGCTGGCGCTGGTTGATGGAGGGGCAGAGGAGGGGCAGCAATGCACGGACCGTTTCGGCTGGATGACTCAGCCACACGCACCACAGGCAAGGCAGAGGGTCGAAAATTGCGGTGCCGTGTCAAAACCCACTGGAATTTTTTGGCCCCTCTTGAACTTCCTCTCCTCCTCAACCCAACGACACATCCGTGCTACCAGTTACTGGGAGATATCGCCAAGATGTCGAGTGAGTGCTCTTGCAGTTCTTTGCATCAACGAACACGACTGACAACCCGACGCAGAGATCACGGTTGCCAACGTCCGTACGCAGATCGGCGAGCTCCTCGAGTACTCGACCGAGACCAAGAAGCGCAACTTCCTCGAGTCCGTCGAGCTCCAGATCGGTCTCAAGAACTATGACCCTCAGCGTGACAAGCGTTTCTCCGGCACCGTCCGCCTGCCCGTGGTCCCCCGCCCCGGCATGACCCTGTGCATTCTCGGTGACCAGCACGACATTGATCGTGCCAAGCACGGTGGCATTGACGCCATGTCCGCCGACGATCTGAAGAAGCTGAACAAGAACAAGAAGCTCATCAAGAAGCTCGCGCGCAAGTACGATGCTTTCGTCGCTTCCGACTCTCTGATCAAGCAGATCCCCCGTCTTCTCGGCCCCGGTCTGTCCAAGGGTACGTTTTCCCTCCTGGGCTCTGCGCTCACTGCTCTTGTCTTGATCTCTCCAGACTGACCATTTGCGCAGCTGGCAAGTTCCCCACCCCCGTCTCGCACGCCGACAACCTGTCCGACAAGATCACCGAGGTCAAGTCGACCATCAAGTTCCAGCTGAAGAAGGTTCTCTGCATGGGTGTCGCCGTCGGCAACGTCGGCATGACCGAGGAGCAGCTCGTCGCCAACATCATGCTGGCCATCAACTACCTCGTCTCCCTGCTGAAGAAGGGCTGGCAGAACGTTGGAAGCCTTACCATCAAGGCTTCCATGTCTCCCCCCAAGCGCCTGTACTAAGCGCATTCTCGACCGGACGGTCCCAGAGTTAGTACTAGGTTAAAACTTGGGAAGGCCGAGAAGGACGGTCCGGAGACGGGATGCTCTGAGGGTCAGAAGCTCTGCATGTGGGAAGGGTGCTCATCAATACCAAATCATTTCCACAACTCTGATTCGATGCCTGCCGCGTGATGTCTCGCTCGACTTTCAAATTGTGCTGTCCTGTTGATGGAAATATGCAATCTCTCTGTTCAGTCGATATGGGCCAACAAACACGTCGGCATCGGTTTGCCGTCGGCACAAGGGGCGACGGGGACGTTTTGCCGTAATCAGATGCTGGCTGATCATGGCCCAATCAGTGAGCCGTCTGAATCAAAGATGTTCATACAACATGATCAAAGAGCCGACATTGGATCTGCAACGGCACTGACACAACGTGCCTCGCAACACGACCGACGCTGCAACGTCGTAGTCAGACATTCTGACCAATGCTGGCATCTCGATGGAGGGGCCGATTTGGTGCGTGCCTCGCATCGACAGGCGTTTTTGTAACAAGAACCTGCATCTGCATTCAGCTCGGTGATTTTCTTCTCGAGCGCATCGGTCCGCAGGTGGCCCACGACGACTCAAGCTGAGTCTGTCTAGGTCTGTTGGTGGTGATGTTCGACCTCGACCAGACTGCCGGGTAGACTGTGTTCCCCCCTTGTCTAAACTCTACAGACCAACAGCAGAACATCTGCCTTTTGTCCAGAGTAGGATCCGACACCGACCCAGGACCTCTTGCGTAGATCGCTTGGCCTGTCTGGCCCAACTGCCGCCCGGCACCATTTACGCGGACGATAGGCTAACTGCAAATGGCTGTTTGCACCTGTCGGCCGTTTATGAGGCGCGGGCAACAAGTAGGGATAGACGAAACTAGAAGTGTTCGCGAGCCTGGAGCTTATCATGACGACTGCGCGCCTAGCCAAAACCCCCGCAGGTAGCAATGGAGAGACGGGCCGAGAAGCAACCTTGATTGCCTTGCGTTTCCCCATGTTGACTTTGCTTCTCAAGAAGGGCTTATGCAGCCCCGGAAGAAGCACACACATGCGCGGGCGCGGGCGCACACTCACACTCCCCCCCTCCAAGGACCGAGATCCGCGAATCTACGAGGCGCAACAACCCCCCAATGACAATGCTTCCATCGGTTCCGATTCGGTAACGGCAGTGTTGGCCGGCCGGTGCGACTGGCGTTGAACTACCTTTGCCTTCGTCAGCCTGCTCAGCCTGTCTGATCATCGGCGCCAGCAATGCCGTCTCATGATGTTTGACTTTGTTGGTGACGGCCGGGGTACTTTGACGTCTGGTTGAATGAGCATCACAGACACGGAGACGCGGGGGGAATGCTCATCATTAGAAGGATCTCCTCCCTACAGAGCTGCTCTAGGAGGGGAGGCGCTAGGCTTGGACGCTTCGAGAAGAGACCCCGAGACATCAGGCGACTCTCTCCTCCCCTTTTCCTCTGGCGAGAATTGCGTATCCGTGCAGGTCTCAGTGTCGGTGACAATGTCAACACATGAGCGAGGTCCGTACTGTAGTTCCCTCCCCGTACTAACCAACCATGCACCAATGGCGAGGAGACAGGCGGACGTGTATCAACTTCAAAGGGTAAACCCCATGGCCAGAAGTTGCCTCAATAGGCGGGTGAGGTGCTGAGAGGGGAAGGGTCTCCATCTGCTTTGGCACTGGCCGGTGGCATTCGGCCCATCTACGGCGCCTCTCCCGTCCATTTTTTTTTTACCCCTTCGCCCTGCCCTCGTTTCCCCTTCCTTTCCTCCACTTTTGCACAAGCATGTGCTCTTGTCTATCTATGCGTCTGTCGATTGTCTGTCCGTCAATTTCTGATCGTGGACTCGAAGTCCGCCAATTATCCGCCGGTTTTCCATGGCTCCAAACCCTGCCACGCCTCCCCAGTCGGCCGGCCTCTCTCTCTCTCTCTCTCTCTGCCTACATCCTTGGTTCCCGGCCACCCCACCCATATCTGCTTGTTCTGTAGGCTTGTAGGCTTGGTAGGTCACAGCCGCTGCTGCTGATCTTCGCATCCCCTACCACCCCCCCACGACCCATTCACAGACGCCCCAACCACTGACGGGTAACTTGGATCGGCTCGATGGAAGGTTCCCTGAACCTGGTCTGGTGCATGACGAAGAGCCGCCTTGGGCCCCAAGAAACGTAACTCGTTGGGGTATCTCCGAACCCCAAGCGACGGGCGATGGACCATGGGAGTCGCTCGTTCCCAGGCGCCTCTTCTCTCTTTCTTTTTTTTCCCCCGCCAGGACCATGTCAAGGTGCTACCGTACTGTACCTCAGGCCAAAGCTATCTTGAGTCGGCTCCGTCTCGTTCGGCAGATCCACATCCACCCCTCCCCATGACCAGCGAGTGACCGTCAAGTGTACCATGTATCCCCCCCCCGTCACCGTTCCGCCCGCCACGAAAGGCCCGGCTGGGATCGATTTGTCCGAGATTCTCCTACCTTCAAGCTCCATCAAGTGGAACTCGATACTTCATGACCATGCCCATGTGGATGATGTGACGCCTAGTCTGTTCGTCTTCGTTCGCTGTGCGCTGGAACTAGCAGCCACTGCCGTGTTTCTGTTTTCGATTTGTCTGTTTCTGGTTGACGCTCCTGCTCTTTTCTCCTTCCTGCTCCTGGCCCCTCCAAACGTGCTCTGTCCATCCTTCCTCCTCCTCCTGCTGCTGCTGCTGCTTGTCTTCTTCTACATCCACTCCCCCCTCCTTTCTCCCCTCGTGTCTCTTCACAGCATACAAACGATCCCTCCAACCGCAGAGGAATGTTGATCCCAGAACACGCGACAAGGACCACTCGCATTCATAATACGGACCCTCCACCCACCAACTAGCTGTCGTCTTTGCTCTGCTTCGCTTCGATCTCTCCTCCAGCCCACCCAGAGTCTTACATTTGCGTCCCGTCCCAGACGACGCACTTCTCTGAGAGGCCATCGCACCTTCTTGGCAACCCCCCTCGTCACTTCCCAACTTCGTCACCACACGCTTCTTTCTCCAGGCACAGACGACACCACGAGCTGGACAGAGACAACCTCGCACGCGCCGTGGCTCCGTCCCGCATTCCACGCAGACGAAACGTAGCGTACCGTACCTAGCGTACAAACACCACCCCAACGAGTCCAACAGGTAGCCAGTTACCCCAGGCGGTGAAAGGAAACAGAGGTCTCCAGCAAGAGCGAATGGCCTGCACCTCTTCGATTCGACTCTTCAAGGCAAACTTCTAGAAAGAAGGAAAGACTGCCGAGGGTCTTCTTATAGGCTTCTTCCAGCCCACTCTCGATCAGGTGGTGAGGAGCTTCTGGCTATCATCACCTTTGTGCAGCTTTTTGTCTTGCACTGTATCATGTACGCCTCGTCGACATCCGAGGGACCCGCGCCCACGACGGAAAAGAAAAAGATGCCCTACGACTCAGCGACGAGGCTAGAGAGCGCCGACGGCTCCATCTGCGGCATCAGGCGGAAGCTCTTCTGGGCATGGATTGCTGGAGGGATATTGATTATCCTGCTGGCCGTGGGTGTTGGCGTGGGTGCTGGCTTCGCGCTGAACCGGCCCCATCATGACAACCCATGATGGCCCGCTCGTCTTTCTCGGAAACATTGATCACCTCGGCACAGGCTAGGGGATGGGGTTCTCGTCATCTGGCTTGCTCTCCGACATCCCAGCCATTTGGTCTGTTCAGCAGAGCAGAACCAGAGACGAGATTTCTGCTGGTCTTGACATGATCCATCTACGAATTCGACAGCACCATCACACTACCAAGACTTCATCGACATCGACGACATTGTGTATTTCCTCCTCTGACAGCGCAAACAAACCATTTTCTTACCGATGGATGGGCCGATACACGAGAGCCCCCAAACACTTGATGGATACCATGCCGAACAGCTCCCGCGGGAAAGCTCGAACGGCACCACCATCAACTCAGCACCAAGGACACGGCGCAAAGGCGTACTTTACTCAAGCGAAGGCATATCCGGCGTTTGGACTTTTCAGGTCCTCCCAAGGGATGGACCCCCTTGCGGGACATTTGCTCATTATTCTGAACGAGGGAGCTCTGTCTTCCGTAACTGGAAAACATGTGGGCGAGCGGGCAAGGAAGCATGGACATCTTGGCACATTACGGGCGATGGAGCTACGGCTTCCCGCTCTGGCTTACGCCATGGAGCGCGCGCACGGGAGACTGGATTCATCATTACAGGCAAAGGGAGGATGAGATTTCTCCTCCCGTGTAACGTTAGAATGGATCTCAAGGCTGCGAATCAGCCCTAAAGGAGCGGAGTATCTTCACGAGGAACTCGGCAGGACAACAACGACTTGAATGAAATTGAAATCATACCTTTCCCACCCTTCCCCCCACTATCCATTCTGCTTCGCGATGCTGAAGTGAGTGAGCGCCAGGCGGAGTGCCTGAATGGGAAGTCTCCGACCATCACACGACTTTCCAGATGAAGTCATTTTGACTTTGAACTGACAACATGACCTGACGGGCGACGGCGACGGCGACCGCCCAATCTTCTGATCGCCCGAACTCGCGTCGGAGGGTTCCAAACGGGCCCCCGCAACTGCCGACGCCTCTCGCACCCTTTGCCAAAGCTGCATGGCATGGCTGGGGGCGATCCGTGACAACCCCGTCGTCGCCTCGGAGGCTTCCCGAGGCTACATGTACTTACAGGCGACATGAGATGTGACGACGCGCGAGCGGAAAAGCCTCCTCGGCCAGGCTGGGACCAAAGCCAAAAGAGGAAGCTCCGCCCAGGGTCCGAAGCGTCGACTCGAACCTGGTGCCTCGAATTCTCATCCCATCGGTCATCGTGACGACCCTTACTTGGGGGGCTTCGGATCTTTCTGCTTTTGCTTGGCTTGGGATGGGATGGGATGGCCCAGGGACGTGGACGGTGCGCCACGCCACAACCGCCCGCGCAGCTTCGCTTCCGCATCTGGCAAAGGCCAACCAACCCAGCCCGCATGTCGGTCCGACAAGGGGGGGACTCATCGATAGAAACGGGCAAACGAATACTGTGAACCAAAAAGGTCGGACCGTCTCGTGTTCAGTCCACGGCAAGACAGGCAGTGTACTTTTGATGAAAAGCATTATCA